GTAGAAGTTTTAACAAAATTTAATAATATAGAAAAGAGAAGGAAAGAATTATTATGCACCTACTTGATTTTATGTGGAAAGACAATTTAATAAGAACAAACATAATGATGACATAGCTGAAGAATATCCCGAAATATTTGTTGGACAAAATGGATCAAAATATAAAATCATCAAAATAAATAAGATTCTCAAATTTTTCCAAAATATTTTACAAGGGTTTTTTTATATTGTTTATTACTAAGAAAAGAGAGATACGGGTCTTTAAATGTCGTAAAAATGGGGCATTTTGGGCAAAGTGAACCCATTTTTTAATTTTTATATATCTTTGAATATAATTATGTTAGAAGAGCTTCATTTAAATTTCTTTATATAGCCTAATGGTGTAAAATTTTATTTAAAAAAATATTAAATGTCAAAAACCGTAAATAAGAAACCGGATATAGTCATAAAATCAAATTCTCTCAAATATTTTTTTGAGCACAGCTATGGCTCACCTATGATGAAAATCTTAAAGCTTGGACTATTCATAAAATATTTTTCATATAGGGCACAAACTATTTCTTAATGTTATTTTTTGCACAAAAGTATATTTTTATATGGTTAAGACGTTAATATTTAAAAATTATCTCACAGCTTAAATCAGAGGATATACGTTTAACCCATAATTACCCCAAGGTCATATATATTGCATAAATCGTTATTGAATGATTTCTTTTCTAGTTATGCTATAAATTTCCGATAAATTTTATTTTATAGCTATGGCTTTAAGGAACATGTCTACATTTTAATGAGCATTAATATACTTTTCTTAAAACGTGATTTTTATAATTTTTGGCTAAAAAACGGTTTTCACTAAGTCAAATTTTCGATTTCTAATGGGCTTATAGCAATTTCTTCTATTCTATTTACATAGCTGGGAATGATGTTCGGTAAGTATATATTAAAAAGCTACGCCAGTAATTCTTGATTGAGCAGAAAACCACGATAGATTTTTAATCTCATTAATGTATAAAATGGCCTCTCAATTGGGATAGAAGGTAGGGCAAGCGAATATCATTAGCAAATTTTTAAGATTGTCCTCAGAGGCTTAAAGATTATTTAAAGTTTTTCAACACCTCATTGGAATTTTGAATTTGAAGTCTAAATAAAGCTTAAATTATTGTACCAAAATAGGGTTATATTAGTATTTTAATAGTTCATGGACTACCTTCAATATCTGCAATATAAAATTAGCCTAATCTCTTTATACTAATTATAATACTTATTGGTTTATAAAAGATTAATATTAATTAATTTTTTTTTCTATCTAAATCTTGGTACATGACCAGCATTTGAACTCTATCTGAGAAAGGTATATAAATAAAATATTGATATTTTTTAAAATAATATTCAAACGAAATCTTGGGTGGTTGGTAAGGTTCATACAATATCCTATATCTTCAAATAGAAATTTTTCATTTTTATTTAGCCAGATTTTTGGAAAGAAGCAAATAAATGTTGAAATATGTGTGGTATAATCTTTTTCCATAATATTCAAAAGATCGAAGACAGATTTATCGTTTGAAGATCGGTTTTGGAGATATCTAAAATAAAGGAATAAATTATTAATAAATGAGAAAAGTTTTAAGAAAATAATCATTCATAAATTCCTATATATTTGAAAAAAAATAATATTATAAATTAAATATGCGTCGTGTAAACATTTTTCGATTATGGGGATATCCAGGCCCAGAATTACACTCCGTATTTACGCCACTACCATAATTTCATTATATCAATTTCAACTTTCTCAAGTTAAACATCGTTCTTCAATAACCGAACCTAAATATTTTCACATGCCCCAATTTCTAATCTCCTATCTATAAACTGTCTCGCTGTTCTGCTAGACCTCTCATAGCGACATAGGTGAAAACCGAACATATGTCTTTAATCTCATTCAAATAAAAAAGGATTATGAGTTTACCCCATGTAGTCTTTTTACTATTGAAAGTTCTGGTGAAGGGTTTTTTCACCATCGCCTTATTATAAATAATACATAATTTTTTTTTATCCATTTCCATGCCTTAAACACGCATATAAAACTATTCTTTTTTTTTGATCAATCAACAAAAACAAATTAGTCTAAAAAAAATTTTTTGAAAATGAGATTGTCATGAGAATATAGATAGAAATTAATAAATAAATATTTTAAGCTCTTACTATGTTCTTTTAATTGATTTTTCTTTAATATAAATTTTTTTTTTTTGCAGCAAACTAAAAAAATTACGCTAATAAATTATTAACCTCAACTAATATAACTAATTATAATAACACTTTAAACAAAACAAAAAATAGAGTAAATTTTAATTATTATAATAGCTTTAGCGGCATATGGAAAAAAAAAATATATATCTCACAAATATTCTGTATACTCTTTCTGTGTTAAATTTTTTATTTTAAAGAGTTTTTAAACTAAAGAATTTTTTATTATATAAGTTAATAATAGTTATGAAAAAAAAAAGAAAATTTGTGTAAGGAGGCAGAATATTTAATCCAGTTATTAAATCACACGCATACATTCACAAATCATAACAATGTGAAGAAAAAAAGTTAGCGTTCAATCATTCATTTTTTTATATATTACTACTTTATATAAATCCCATAATTGCTGAAACCTTTATATTGATAGAAGAAGAAAAATAACAAATTTATGAATATTATAATATAAAAGTACGATATTTTGTCAAAAGTGGTTTAATAAGTGCGTGATAAACTTTAAAATATTAAGATTTTATAATAAACAAAACTTTGTGTTTGAGGTTGAATTATTAAAGTCAAAATGTGAGTCTATATTATATATAAATATTTTCCCCAAATTTTCTAAGAAATGATTAAAATATTGTTCATGAGTATTAATTCATCTGTAATAAGTTAATTCATCACAAGCTCATGGATTTTTATGGTATAAAAAATATTTATTTAAAAATAAAAAAAAACTAATATGATTAGAATTCGATTTATGCATTGTTAAATTTAATCAAAAATTTAGTCATTTATTGGTTTCATTTGACTTAGGTAAAAGATGAAATAAAAGTATAATCTTTGATAACTATATAAATTTCCCCTGAGACGAATTTTTTTTTTAAACAAAATATAAAAGACAAAATTGTTATTAAATTATACAATCAATTTTTAATTCAAAAAAATTTATGTCCCAAATTACGATAAAAATTTTTACGTTTTAAATTTAATATAAAAAGTCAATGAATTTGTTATGATAATACTAAAAATGAAAAACTATATTATATTTCCACTAGTAGAATATATTATACGTATAGGTAACTATATATTAAACTCTTCTTATGCCTGTCCTAAGCTCGGATTAAAAATAAGAGGGTTTATTTCGGGTTAAACGCAGGAAAAACAATTTTCAATTATAATGACCGATTCTATCAAAGGCTTCGTTAAAAAAGATAGGGCGTTTCCCCCAAGCGACATGCAATGCATTCAGTTTTTAAATAAATCGTGCCACAGCTCTCATAACTAAAGCCCTGTTAAAAGAGTTGTGGAGAAGTGCGGATATCTACGTTACAACATTGGTAATAGTGGTGAATAGGTACAAATGTTAAATAACAGAAAAGTAACCTATTTACTATGTAAGCTTACATTAGAGCCAAGTGGACTATACACTTATTAGACGATATTTATGGAGAATCAAGGACTTCAAATTTATACAGGCGAAGAAATAACAAGGCAACATAATGGTGTTAGATATTGGAAAGAAGATTACCCGTCAAGGTTAAAAGTATATTTATTGCTATAAAATGCTGAAGGAAGATTAGATGGGGGGAGTTCTATCATAAAACCATATCTTACCTGCTGGAAACGATTGATAGAAAGGATAATGGCAATTATGTTTGAGATAGTGTTTACATCGAGAATTGTGGTGGGGGGGGGGGGTAGATAGAAACCATTTCTTCCATACATCTTTGAAGGGGATAGGGAGCAAAATATATTTTTGGGGTGAGGGGTAAATCCAAGGCTTTGAACCTTTAAGTAGTGATTCGGTTTTTAGTTTAATGTTTTATAAATGTTTTGTATTTCGGTTTATTTTCGCAGAAATTCATAAGTTTGGTACGGTTTAGAATTTATAACGGTTCACATATAAATCCTAGAGAAATTTTTTTTAATTTATATTTCTATAATTACTTATTTAATTTAATTAACTAGAATTTCATAATCTCTAATAAATTGAGTATATAAAGTAAAAACTATGAACTTGTTATTGATTGATATGAAGATTAGCGATTTAATAGAAATTTTATTTTGAAAAGATCACAATTTAAATTTAGGTTAATAATTTAAAATTAACTATTCTAAAAAACCTTTATGAACCGCTTAAAATATTTATAACAGTTCGGTTCGCTCCTTTTATATTTTCTTAATAACAGTATGGTTGAGTATTTTATGATTTTTAAACTTAATTTTGGTTCAAATTTGTATCTCCTACCGTTAAGTATTCTATGAACTTTTGTCTGCTTTTGAATATTTTCTAAATTTTTGAGTTTTTGATCTTTTTTATATTTTTTTCCACCCATTTTTTATGTTATCTTCTTCTTTAATGTAAATTATATTTGATTAGCTTACACTATACAGGTCTACTACCTAATTCATTACATGCCCTCAATATCCCCTTTTTTGTATAAACTAAACACCAATAAAATTTTAATCATACAAATCGTCTTTTCTCGTGAACAGATATTTCTAGAACACCCTGATTAGCGAATCAGGAAAATCCATATTAGGAATATACCCCTATTTTTATAACAGACTTTGTTTGTTGCCATCTTTTTTAAAGAAAACTTTCCACTAAATCCGCCTCAGGTCACTCCCCCCCCTCTCCCATGGCACGAGTGTCTGGCATTCTCAATGGTCATCTTTTTTACTCATTATAATATCTCTAAAAGCGCTGAGATTGATTATTATTATTTAGAAATCTCATCTATTTTATTTAAAATTTATTCTATATAAAAATTATAAATTATATAAATAACAAAATTTTGAATTACGTAATCTTCTAATAAATATAAAACATTATTAAAAAAAAATCGCATGTATAAATATTCAAGCTTTATAATTGAATAATGTTAGCATTTTTAAGGCACTCCAATCTCATCCTGTTTTTCTTTTTGAAAGTCTCTTGAAGGGTGTTCAAGCGTCTAAAAAAAATATTAAAGTGAAGCATTTATTTTAAGTTATAAATGATAACTAAGATTTTTAATAAAGGACCAGATTAAGATTTTAGCCAAAATAATATTATGTAAGCCTCGAGATTTGGCAAATAGAAGTCCAAACCTTTCTGCGATGTATGAATCTCCAAAAAATCTAGCCAAATCCGACTCGTTTAACAATACTAATTATAAGACAAACTCTCAGGAAACTGAAAGAAAGACATTTTTTTTGCGTACCGCCTTAGTTCAAAAAAAGGAAGGTATTGTTCAGGGTTTTTAGAAGTATTCTAGAACATTCCAAAAAGAAAGATTTTATTTTATTATTATTACTATTTAACGAACATATTTTACTTACCATTACATCTAAGTTATTTATATATCAGAAAAGTGTTTTAAAAAATCAATTTCCAGGAACGGAAAAGTAAATTAATGGAGTTGAATTGGAAAGGGGTATATTTTAGAACATGTCAGAAAATATCTTCTTATTTTTAAAAATAAATATATATCCTAATGTAGGGTAAATACATTTTTGAGAGCAGGAAATAAGATAATTGGCTTCATAATAATCCGAGCCTATTTGGAGATATTCAATGGATTCACTGAGAATTTTATTTAGATAATATAAATTAAGATTTTTTTAAAATTGTATTTTGTCATTCATTCCACCCAAATGAGCCCCAAAAAGGTGTTTATCAATCAGATCATATAAAATACAAAAAATGTGAATGTAACCTTGCCTCTATTTAGGATATATTATTTTCTTAAAGAAAATGTTCGGATATGTTCCAAAGTATACTTCGTTCCAAATCAACTCCATTAATTTACTTTCTTTTGTTCCGGGAACTTATTTTTTTAATCGTTACCTTTTCTTGTTTTAATGCTTTCACTCCCGTTGTTAAACGGTTCTATTTTTAAAAACGTCCAATATTTTTCAAGCCACGAAATTTCGTTTATAGATGTCCAAACCTTTAATGGCAACTATAAGCAAGATCTCAAGGCTTGCATAATATTTTTTTTGGGCTAAAATATTGGGATTTTTAAAACAAAACCAATCTTCTTTTATTTTCTACCTTTATACAAAGATAAAAGAGATAGCATAAATAACATAAAGTGGAGAGAGAGATATTGAAGGAGCTTACCACCAAAAAAGTGAAAGTTAAAAAGAAAAAAATACTCTAGATATATAAATTGTACGACTTTTTATAAGCTTTATAAGAAGGGGAATCGGATAGTCGGGAGAAAATAGAATAGATTTTATTCAGCGTTTCTTTCGATTCGGAATTCAAATAACCGGAGAGGGCTAGTTCTAGACAGGAGACATCCAATTTTGCCTTTTTAAAATTTTTAGAAAATAAAGATTATAAAATTTATATTTTGTTTTCAGAATCAAATTGTTGAATTAGGATTATATTTGCGCATATTAGAATTATATAATCTTTTTATAATATTAATTATACATAATTCATATATATTATAAAATTTAAAAAATAAATATTATTTTTTTAATACAAGATTAAAAAGGTGCATAATTATCTGTATGAGTTCTCATGCGTTTTTTTAACTTTTCTAATATTTATTTTCTTTCTATAAATACCAAATATTGAATAAGTTTGTATATATTCCCATAAAGACATTTTTTGTTATTATATAGCTGTTTTATCATAGTTTTTATTCAAAAATTGTTCAATTTTTACTCTAAGATAATATAAATTTTTTTTTAACATAATCTTAATTATATGGAGATTTTGAATAAAAAAAGTAAAAGACATTCTTGAGCCAGCAAAAACAAATATTTAAATAATGTTTCTCATCAGAGGTTAAAAAAAATAATATACTTGTATAAGGCTTTTATCGTTGTTAAAATTGATACTCGAATAAATGGCGTATAGCTTGCCGAAAATATTCTCTACCAATTTGCACATAACCCTATTATTAAGTGAAGGAGATATGGAATTGACCTGATTAAAAAAAAATGAAAATTCTAAAATTATTATTAAATTCAAATAAAATGGTCAAAAAATTTGATAATTTCAAAAATAATCAATCCGACTTTTCAAAACATGACAAGCAACCCTTGTTTAATTGTCGAGAAACAAATTAAAGAAGGCTCACTTTTTGCCTTCTGTTACTATTTTTTAAAAAATTTTACTTATTTAAAATGAAAATTTTAATGAAAACAATAAAATATTGCAATTTTGGCTTCTATTCATCATTTTATTTTAAAATTTTAATTCGAAATAACATACAAACTTATTAATGTTCCTTTTTTTGCTCAAAAATATCTTTTTATATGAGGTTAGAAGTTAATATTTAAAAAATATCTTTTTACAGCTTTAATCAGATGGAATATATTAGCCGTTTAACCCATAACAATTTTACCCCAAGGTATTTGGGCAATATGTCAAACCAGGAAAGTTTTTCGAAAGTTGACCATAAGTAAGAAATTATCACACCAAATGTAATGCTCAAGGGTTAAAAAGTATTCGTATTAACATTGTTAACTCGTAAATCACTACTCTATCTAAAAAGTAATCTATTTGGTTTATTTTATTCTGAAACCTGGTCGAAAGAAGGGTGTGTTTAAAAAGCCAGATATGAGAAATGGTTAATATTAATATATATAATAATAAATATATGGTTTAATAAAAATTTGGTCTGTTCAATTTGTATAACAATTAGCCAGAGTTTTAATTTAAGACTCATGTGTCAACCGATTATTAAATGTATCATGTATGGCCTATTAAATTAGGCCTATTATATTATGTTAGATGATAACTTAATTGATATATTTTATTAATATTTTTCTACTTTGGTACACCTTAACTTCTTTTTATTATTAAAATATATTAATTATATATCTATCGATATCTCCATTTTTCTTCCATATCATATGCTTTTCTTCGGAAAAAAAAGATTTACATTATTGGCCAAAACCTTCAAACGGCTAGATTACTTTTTTTTAAAGCTAGAGTCAACATTAGCCCGGCTCAGAAATGTTCTTACCTGGCCCATGCGCTTTCTGGGAACTCCAGAGTTAAATAAAGTTATAAAATCCACTTAACAATTTATATTTAAAAAGTTTTTTAAAAAAAAAAGGATATAAAATTTTTAATATATCTAGGACACGATATCAAATTTGTAAAGTGAGTTACGATAACTGCTATTATATTTATAATGAACCTCGGAATAAACTTCGATACAATTTTGTAGGATAATAAGGGCGTATGTCTTGATTTCTGTTTAAAATAAATATATAATTTAATAGATAAATTTGGTCAAAAATAAGAAAATTGGTGTTTTTTGTAAAAAAAGGTTTAAAAGAAGTAATATTATTTTGAGATATAATGTTCAGTTGATATTAGAGATGTGCAAAGCCCAACTCGCCAGAAAGCCCGGCCCTCAGGCTAAAAATTTGTACAAAAAAATCGGGCCGGGCAAAAATTCTTACCGGGTCAAAGAGGAACGGGTTTTGCAGACCACTTCTAATTGATATAATAATATATTAATGGAATTGAAACGGTTTAAATGCCAAGGTACTTTAAATCTTTAAATTCATTACTTCCATTTCTTCCCTTTTAAATTAAATAATTGGGCTTTCGATTTCATTCCTTAAATAGCTCTCTCAGATATTAAACATTATAAAAAAAAAACCTTTTCTTTTTCTATCAATTTAGTTATTCCTTAATAATAGCACTCCATAATAACTTACAAGTCATCATCAAGTGGGAGATGAGACATGAATCAAAAATCGCATAAAAAAATTATTTTACTCATAGCTAATGAAAATGATAACAAAAATTTTGACTTTGACAAAAAAAAGAGATTTTAGCTGGAATATAAAAATTGAAATGAACAATAATTAAATTTAAAAAAATAATTAATACATATATTTAAATTTAAACATTATATAACTTTATTCTAAAAAATATTAATTAGTCATCTGCATTTATAGAAGAAGAAAAAATTAATTCATTGTATCCAATGTTTCGATGACATATTAGTTTGTATATCATCTTTCAAGGAAATAAAAATTTTAATTTAAAAAAATGAAAGGAAGGAAGAAATTTCAAAATTAATAAAAGAAAAAATAATGATGATAAAAATAATAATTTTAGGTATAAAATAATAAGCTCTTCCATTAATAAATGAAAATATTTTTTTTTAAAAAAATATATAATATTTGGATCAACAAAACCTGAGGGTTCTGGGCACTCTCTCCAATCGAAAGATAACGCGTTCATGTTTGTCATAATGTTTTCGACGATGGGTTCACTTATCGTATCACAGAAGTTTATAAATAAATTTTCGTCTAATTCTTGAAAGGATTGGGTTAATTTCTGGCATATACAGTATATTTGTTAAGATTATTACTAGTTTTGTTAAAAAGTAACCTATAACTAGCTAAAGTTATATTTCAAAAGTAACTAGTTACATGAAAAGTTACTTTTGAAAAAAAATGAGACCGAGAGTAAAAAAAAATTCGAGCGGGACTTTAAAATGTTTAAATTTTGGGTTGGGATATGGTTTAAAAAAAGCTGAATATGATCCGAAGTCTACAATGCGATCGTAAACTACCGCAATAAACTTTAAATCGAACGGATATTTTTATGATAAAGAGAATGATTCTCACTCTCATTGTTTGCTTTAATAACTACAAACCCAATACGAGAATGTTAGCCTGTGATCGCCAACCGAACCGTATTCTTTTTAAAGAGAAATTCTGTTCGAGTTTTGTAAAATAATTATTATTAATTCTAAATTAGCTTCAAAGAAAGTCCTCTTTCTAAGGAGCTTTCCTAGATTTACTCCTCCTTTCCTATTTTTCCGTCATGCTATATTTCTTCTTTATTTTTTTTTTAAAAATTAACCTAGATTTAGTTACTAATTACTATTATAATATTAATGGCTCTAATTTAATTAATAAATGAATTTCGTAAAAAAGAGAAGATTTTTATTTTTTTTACAGCACAATATTTATGTGTAAATAGTATTTTTAAAATACAAAATGTAGATTGTATATAATTAGTACAATAAATTATATGGTGGGAAGGAGGAGGTCAAAAATGGAGCCGTATATGACAATAAAATTAGATCTGCATATATCAAGAGATACACGTTGTCGAAGATACCTGTGGGTCACAAGTGATCATGAATTTTTTTACAAAGGGATTTGAAGAAGGTTAGGGCATCTTTACCGAAAAAACCGGTTGTGTCGGATACAAATGGTTAGGGAAATGTATTTGTTAATTTTAGAGTTTGCCGCTCGCATGAATGAGTACTAAGAGGGAGCGAATCGGTCGATGCAAGTGTAATCCTTTGTTAAAGGAGTTCAATTATTCCATGGTATTAAGGTAAGCCCATCTGGCCGGATACTATTTTCAGTTGAGAGGCCACAGGGTCGGGGATTTGAGCTGAGCTAAAAGCGCGGAGAATGGTACCGTTAACTGCACTGTGCAGAATCGACAGTGAAGGTGATGTCCGAAACAATCAACGGGGTGGGAACATAAAGTGCATGCAGAGTTGGCCAGTATTTTACAACCGAGAGTGGGGATTAGAACAGAAAGCGAATTCTCTTTTCAAATTGCTAGAGCGGAGTTATTGTTAAGTGATAGGAATTAAGCGGCAGCTTGATTCTGAGGCTAAAAAGGTAACAAGGCTGAGTGGCGCAGGTGATCTTAGGCCAAGACCCCCAAATTTCGAAGGCAAGGAGGCCTGCATCCAAGAATTAGGGCTGAATTATATATTGAGGATGTCTTCTAAAGAGTTTTTGATTGTTGATTCTATTTGGGTAAGAATTTCTGGGAATAAGAAAAGTGGGGCAGAGCGGAAGGCATGTTGGATTTTGGGAATAAAGAAAAAGTTTTTGAGAAGGAAGAAAGCTTGATGGGAAAAGGACTTTGAGGATTTTATGTAAAAGGAGAAATTTTGTTTTAAAATATTCGATTGCTTTATTGCCTCCTATTGGGGATCCAAGATGTGTGAACCCGGATAGATTATTGGGTGTGAAGTTATGAGGAGCGGTAAAGATTTCATCTGGTGAATAAAATTCGCATTTGTTGTTATTAAGAGACAACCTTGTAAGGGGGCTATTTTGAGGAGGTCATCATGTGGACCAGCAAGGGTTCCATCATCTAAATACCAAACATTGAGGGTCAAATTTGTCTTGCGATATATCATTTCAATGATCGACTGGATACTTAAGCAAAAAAGGGCGGGTGCAAGGGGATCACCCTGTTGAATGCCTTGCCTTGATTCAATTATTGTGTTATTGAATTTAAGGTAGGATGATTTGTTATAAGAGGCAAAAAGGCAATGCCACTATTTAATCACTCAATAATAATATCAAAAATGTTGACAACTGAAAAAAAAATTTTTGACTTCTGTTTTACTCACTTGAAGGCTCCGTCGACAAAGTTCAACTTAACAAAACAAATTAAGTGTCAGTTAATCAACCCAATCCCCAACAGCAATGCCTCTTGTTCTTCAATATCCACCTTTAATTATAACATCCCTGATTTAAAGGCTAAACTTATCAATCGTAAAATTAATGCCTGTAATTTTAAAGCGGTTTTAAATTTAGCAGTGTCCGAAGACACCATATCCCCTGACAATTTGGATACTATACTCTAAGATTTTAGTGAACTACCACCACTACCTAATTCCTACTCTTCCTCTAACCGCCATAGAAGTTACTAATGCAAAAGATTTTAGAGCTATATACCTTCAAGACCTCACCAAATCAACAACCACCAACACTGATCTTTTACACATAACAACTCTTCTTAATCATATTATAAACGACAACATATCTTCTTCAGTACAACTTCTTATTCACGGTGCACGCTTAATAGCCTTAAACAAAAAAGATGGCGGCATCCGCCTAATCGCCGTAGGCTCAATTTTCCGTCGAATTATATCTTAAATTAATTGTACTCGCATTAAAAACAAGCTCACCGAGTGACCCATCAGATTGGCTTCAACATACCTTCCGGTTGTGAAGCGGCCTCCCATGCCACGCGTATCTAACTTCACTCCACAAAAAACTATACTAAAAATGGATTTTAAAAACGTCTTTAACTCTCTTAAATGGGAACATTTTCTCCCCATTTTCTGCGACGCTTTTCCCGAATATTCTCACTACCTTTTTGCCACTTATAACAAATCATCCTACCTTAAATTCAATAACACATTAATTGAATCAAGGCAAGGCATTCAACAGGGTGATCCCCTTAGACCCGCCCTTTTTTGCTTGAGTATCCAGTCGATCATTGAAATGATATATCGCAAGACAAATTTGACCCTCAATGTTTGGTATTTAGATGACAAAACCCTTGCTGGTCCACATGATGACCTCCTAAAAATAGGCCCCTTACAGGTGTTGTCTCTTAATAACAACAAATGCGATTTTTATTCACCAGATGAAATCTTTATCGCTCCTCATAACTTTACACCCATTAATCTATCCAGGTTCACACATCTTGGATCCCCAATAGGAGGCAATAAAGCAATCGAATATTTCAAAAAAAAATTTCTCCATAATTTCCACCTTTTACATAAAATCCTCAAAGTCCTTTCTACCCATCAAGCTTTCTTCCTTCTCAAAAACTTTTTCTTTATTCCCAAAATCCAACATGCCTTCCGCTCTGCCCCACTTTTCTTATTCCCAGAAATTCTTACCCAAATAAAATCAACAATCAAAAACTCTTTGGAAGGCATCCTCAATATAAAATTCGGCCCTAATTCTTGGATGCAGGCCTCCTTGCCTTCGGAATTTGGGGGTCTTGACCTAAGATCACCTGCGCCACTCAGCCTTGCTCCCTTTTTAGCCTCAGAATCAAGCTGCCGCTTCCTATCACTTAACAATAACTCCATTGACCCCCACCTCACGCCTTAACAATCTGAAAAGAGATTCGCTTTCTGTTCCAATCCCCACATCACGAAAGCAACATGACTGGGATCTTTCCTTAATACGCCATTCCGTTGAATATCTAATATCGAGTGCTGCGTCTAAGGGATCCCTATCAATTCTTACACATTTATTATCACTCATTTTAGTTGATGAATCCTAACTGTTGACCATCTCTCTCTCCTACAACTGCGAGTTCCACAACTTTTACCCTCCTTATCGGGTTACGAATGGTTAAACAGCTATGTCCAGCTCAAACTTAGGACTTCTTCTAACAAACGAAGAATTACGCATGGCGATAGGTCTCCGTCTCGGTTGTAAAATACTGGTCAACTCTGCATGCACATGTTCCTACCCCGTTGATTGTTTCCTGCATGCACATGTTCCCACCCCGTTGATTGTTTCGGACATCACCTTCACTGTCGATACTGCACAGTGCATTTAACGGTACCATTCTCCGAGATTTTAGCTCAGCTCAAATCCCCGACCCTGTGGCGATTACAACACTACCTACCAATCGCCTATATGAGTAACTTTAATGCTTCTTTCAGTCTTACTAAATAGGGAGAAGGGGGGGGGGTTAAATAACTTTCCATTTTTTTAATATAAGAAAAAAGAAAAAATGTTCAAGTCAGAAATATATGCAAAAAAAGGGTACATACTTTTTTAATATTATCCGTGTTAGGGATTCCATGGAGATTTAGGATTTCTGTCAAATTACCGGTTTTGATTAAGGTGCATAGTAGGTATTCTGTATTGCTGAGGCAATATAGCAACCTTTTATCCTTTTAATTAATATTCATGAGACATTTATAACAAATAACATTTGCATTTAAGTATTCGAGGTCTGCAAATGGCAAAATTTTAGGGCACGGCTCAGTTGGAATATAGTTTTGTCCGGCCTGGCCAAATTTCTACTCGGCCGGACCCGTTTCCAATTTTTCACTAAGGTTGCCCGACCGGGATTTTTTAAATATAGGTCCTACCTAACCCAAAATATACGTAGTTGAAAACCAAATAGATAACTAATTATAATATCGGGGAGTGGTTAATTTAATAATGCTACACTTTATGGATTTTCACTTCTATCATATATCAGAGTTCATCGGTAATCCAGCCCAATAATTTCATTTCCCGGCCCAAATAAAAAATTTTCAGACGTTAATACGGGTCCGGCCCCCTTTGCAGACCTCTATAAAGTATATATCATTATAAACCATCCAACGGTAACCTAATCATATCAAAAATTGTTTTACATATTATTGACCAAAACTTAACCGTCTTTGAGGATATTATTTTACACATGTTTTTTTTCCATTGATATAGTGGATTCGGAATATAATTAAAGATGTAAACGTATATAATACTATTTAATTTAAATGATTACAAAATTATTTCTTTCTTGCTTATTAACTAAAACCTTGTAAGTATAGGTCCAGTCAATGGGTAGTCATCGATATCTTTTTCGCCTAGTGCATTTTAATTATATCCTGATTGTATTATAAAAATAAATTGGGAATCGAATAACTGCTAAATCGAAATTTAGAGTATTCTGGGAAATTTTCAAAAAAGTCAGGGATTGACCGTTTTTCCTTAATTTAATCAGTTGCGTTGGATTCGAGTAGTATGAGTTGGAACCTTTCAGCTACCTTTCTTTCTGAACCCGAGATGATGAGAAATAAGCTTGGCAGACCTTCATGCTATTATTTAAAATTTTGGCGATCTTCCACAATAAATAACCAATAGCTATGGCGCTTATTCATCTATTCCAGTTGATTTTACAGGAAAGGAAGTCGTAGGCAATAAATTTCATCAGCAAAGACTCGTCGGGGGGCCTCGATCTATATATCTCAATATCTCCAGAATCTAAGAAACCAAACAAAATTCTTCACGGTAAAATTCCTATTCTCTTTGGTGCTATCTCATCGCACTAAAAAAAGAGATAACGGATACCGCCCTTTCGCCATTGGCTCTTTATTTCGCAGAATCTAAAATGATAAACCGGTTCTTTGTGCCAAGCTTATTCCTCATCATCTCGGTTTTGAATAAAAGATAGCTGCGAGACTGCAACATATTCTATTCGTATCATAATAGATCAAAATAATAAAATATGTGCATAATTAGACTCAATTTTCGAGAACGATCATGGTAATTGGTTCGTCCTTGACCTTTTAGAAAATTTCACAGAATACGCAATAGAATCAGGATTTCATCAAATCTGAACAAAGTATTCAGCAGAGAAATCCCCTCGGCATTGCTTTTCTAACGGGAATAAAAGTACTCACTTGCTGGGAAAAAAGGCATGTTTACCAGAAAAATTATTCCCTCCTGGGAATATATTTGAGATCAAAATTGTGAACAATATTTGGCTGCATTAATACCTGCAGCTAAATTTAAAAAAAAAGTATTTTCAAATTTAAAAGAAAAACTAATTGCGTATATCTATATAGAATTCTTTCGATTCAATGTTTGTTTGTCCATGTTATATTCCCACCCCCACCCCCTATGAGGAAAATAATAAAATAACACAATATTGAAATTTTTTAACTTTTTAGATAACAGTATTTTTCATTCTGCAAAAAAAACCTTTGTAATTTTAGATCTTAGAGAACGTCGAGATTTATCCATATTCTCTTTTTCCTTTTCAGGAACTATAGAGTCGCGACCTTTAGAACTACCTCTGGCTAAGTATTCCAGAGAATTGCCGAAGGCTAAGATCATCTCCGTACAAGCTAGTGTAACCTTTTTTTTTAAATATCAAGATTGGATGTATAAAATTTAGGCACACACGGTGGAAAGTTCAAATATGATTGATTATTATTATATCAGCTCAGATTACGATAAATTGAGGACAATGTAATTAATCGATAAAAAAAAATTACGCCATGTATTTAAGTGTTCGTTATGCATTGAAGTGAATACTCTTAACAATTTTATTTTAAAATTATAATTTAAGATTTTACAATTTGTAAAATAAAAACATATAAAATTAAACGTCATTTAAATACATAAAAAAAAACTAATAGTTTGTGCAAATTTAAAACAAACAAGCAAAAAAAAAGTGGCATAAATAGCTTTATATAAATATTAACTTCTTTTTGATTGGTTCTATCTGCCCCGAAGATAGATAATTCGGGTTCCCCGCCCAATAAAGGATCGATTAACCATTTAACGGACTCGCATTTGCCCTTAACCAAAATCTCGAAAAGTTTTATCTGAAATGAATAAAAATTTATATGTATAACCAGCAGTAAATTTTTCTCACGTCAAAAAAAAAAAATCGGCAAAAATAAGCTTAATGGATGGAAGGTTGAAAGATGTAAGATAATATAAACAAAATTTGCATTGTTGATTAAGTAATAATAAGTAAATCAAACAATTGAATAAATAATCTCAAAACTATTTTGGTGCAGCCATATCCTTTGTCCCGCTTCTCGATTTTCCAATTCTCTTTAAGGCACAAACTTTTCATCTCTTTAAATTTTTGTATGTTACAGAAAAAAAATAATAATTAATTAATAAAAAATTTTAAATAAAACATTGGGTGGGGGGAAATGGAATAAAGATTAAAGCAGTTTGAACTTAAAATCTTTAAAAATTGAAGTTTTATCATTTTAATTTAAAATTTTTGATTTCATCTTGAGAGATTTTTTATGCACTAAAATTACAAAAAATTTAATAATAAAATATTTATTTTTAAAAAAAAAGTTATAGCATCTTTAGGCAATATTTGGTTCTAAAATCTTTCTTCTTTAAAAATAAATAATCCAAGAAGGGGGGGGGGGTTCATTCTTATTTTGTCAATCAATTGTTAACATTATTATTATCTTGGAAAAAAAAATTATCTAAGTTGTTAATATAATTTAAAACTTATCAACAAATTCGTAAATAACTTAACTGACTAATTTTTTTAAAATAAATTTAGAGTTTACAAAAATGGTTTCCAATATTTTATGAAAAGAATAAATATATATGTGTGTCGTATTGGGATATGGAATTTATGAGTTTACTAAAAACGATTTTTAAATTTTAAAAATCTGATTTGAGAGGAATTGTTTTTCGGCATGTACCGAGTACACAAAATGTAAATTTCAAACAATTTTGCCATGAACTTTAGAACTCCTATCTAATTTATATTAATTTTTGTATGAATTTTTCCATATATATTTTAAAAATAAATGTATAAGACGGAAAATAGCTGAAATTTATAGGGTTAAATACTCTACACATGCTAGAATACATTTCCGGTTAAACGGATCTTAAAATCAAGAGATTTCGAATTTCCAAGGATTCCATTATCCCAATACGACATATATAATCGTGCATGAATAAAAACCCTTAGCTCCGGCTTTAAAATGAGATATCATAGCGAAAATTCTCAAATCGCAAATCAATTTTTTGACGCAAATAATCGATTCCTCGGGAATCTGAGCCACGGAACCGGCAATTTCTTCCCTTTTTTCCCAATTCAGAATGGATAATTGACAAATTCTAGAAGGTAAAAAAAAATAATGAGAGGGAGGGGACAGAATAAATTTGTAAATATTTGTAATTTATGAAAATAAGGCTCTAAGAAAATAAGAGTCGATACAAATTATTCGATTCAAATAATTGAGATATTCGTATTTGCGAATCGAATAACGAATAATTTGAGTTTAGGCCTATTAGAATCAAGACCTAGAAGCCCGGTTCGGAACGAGCTAAAATAGCATCATTGGATACGAGCGGGTCACAATGGTAGGTTGTGACACTGTGATAATAATAATCCAGCAGAATTTTACCATGGACAAATGAAATTTAATGTGTTTTTTAAGGAATATATTCATTGGTAGTTTTTACCGTGTTTTTTTGATAATAAAAACATGATTGTATTAAAAAAGCATAGTGCACTGAGTAAAATATAGTGTCTTTAAAAAAATATAGCATATTTAAGAATATGACTAATTATATTAATTTATATATATAATTTATTTATTTTATTTAGAAGGTCAGAAAATAATTAAAACCTGACATCCTTTAGGGTAGAATTGAGCCAGCCAATGCCGTCGGTGAGAATGTATCCAGCATATTCAGACCAGTCTCCAAGTACGGATTCTCGCCTTTGAACCGGGTTAAGGGCAAGAGTGGAAGGAAGAAATACTGCCCTGACCAAATCGCAGTATAGAGCCACTATGTCGTTCGTCAGGTACTAGAAGAGGCAAAATAAAGAAAACAAAATATTGAATAAAATAAAGAGAAATTATTGAATTTAAAAAAATGAAAATAAATTTAAAAAATAAATTATTAAAGAGATCAAAGAAACAACTGATTGAGATATTAAAAATTTTCCTTTAACGTTTGATTAGGGGTGTGTTTCTGGTAGTAAAATTAGACTTTTGTATAAATTATTAGAGATGAGAAAATACCTTGGGTATTATGATTTTAAATAACATTTACAAAAGTAAAATTATACTTAGATACATTAAAATAATATTATGTATAGAATTAAATGTTTAAAAAATCGTACTTTAAAGCGAGAAAATTTGTTGGGATCTGCTTTGAAGGCTTTGTCAGCGCTGGTGGTTTGCTGATTAAGTTAAATATATTTTTTGTTAAAAATATTTTATTTTATAAAATTAATTATCAAATTATTGACTTAAGAATGTTTCGGCGAACTATTAACTAGAAAAATTATGTGGGGGAGGGGTTAAGACCTACTATGATATGTATGAGAACAATTAAATATTTAAAGTCCGCCCGACTTTGTACATATAATCCGGTTTTAGATTTCGGTAAGATATTAATTAAGGTATGTAAAATTTACATCTTTATTAAAATACAATAAGCCCGAGAAATAAGCTTGACCAAGTTGCCAAAAATCGTAAAATCCCTGAGTCATGAGAGACGATATTTCTTCGATGTAAAGAGAAATGAGAGGGGTAGAATTTATGTTGTTAAGGTTGGTGTTAGAACCGTCTTTGAATAAATAGGTTTAAAAGAAGAGAAAAAAAATTAATATTAAAGATATAACTGTATCTGGAGCAAATATATATATTATATTTCAACTTAATTTATACTCCTATTATATTGGTTATCCACCTGTCATTCATCCATATATTCATTTTCTTTTTAGTAGGATTGGCAAAAATCGTGATCGTTTTTTACAAAAAAATTTTTTAAAAAAGGATTTATTTAATTTAATTACGATTTTAAAATAAAAAAATACTACCTAAAGGAAAAGAGGTAAAGTTATTAAGGTAACATGCATTCATGACATTATATCACATCTGTTTTCTTGTTAAATTTATAATTAAAACCATTGTTAAATTAGCAATACTGAATTGACTAAAATGTAATATATCACAATGTTATAAATATTTAACATTTACCCATTATGATAATCTAATACATTCTGATTCCTGTGTATATAATCTAATTAATTTTCTTTAATGTTAAAAATGTTAAATTATTTTAATGAAACTAATATTCATAAACTGCACTTAAAGTATTTTTAGTCGGAGACTAAAAAATCCAATTTTCTTAGCCCAAACCCGCCCAAGACTGAAGTAAATTTTATGGGGGATCTAAGCCAGACCCACCCATCCAGTGACTTGATGCAACCCGAATTTTCAAAACATATATGAAAAAGAAATCTCAAACTCGAAATATATTTTATAATCTATTATAATGTTAGTCATTAAATTCAATAACTTTGACAATTTAATGTTTATCTTATTTTTATTCTATCTATTATTAAATATTTAAATGAAAATGAATAGTAAATATTTCCTATTAAATTTTTTTTTATATATTTAATATTCAATCAGGCAAAAAAAAGGCAGAATGGGAAGGAAATATAACTTTATAATTTTTAGGGCCATAGGGTCAGCCCTGCATGATTCTAACATTAATATTAAAAAAACATATATAATTATTATAATTGATTTTTGATATTTCCTTTAAATTTTAAAATTATTAAAAAAAAGATTTTATAAAAGTTACACTCAAAAAATAATTTCGGGATTAACGAAAGCACAACGTATAAAATATTTCGTAACGCTAAAATTTAGTAATTTATTTAGTTAAAACCTGTAAGGAAAATTTATTTCAAACGAAGTATATTAAAATGTTTTTTTTAAACAAAAATCTAATATTTATTTAAGAATTAATTCTCAAAATCATGATTTTTATACCAAAACATCAATTAAAATCGTGATTTGAACCAATTTGATTTGATCATGCCACACCCTTATAAAAGGCAAATAAAAAATTATAAATATAAAATAAACGATTGTAATGTAGATTAGGCGCGCTTTTGGCTTCGCATAACGAAGGTGCCAGATTTAATAAATTCGAAGACGATTTATTGGCATTTATACTCGTGTAAATATCCGATCCTATCAAAAAAAAAAAATTATCAATAAAATTTATACTTCATTATAATTAATTAATATATTGCTGGTAGCAATTTTACTGGATAGATCATATAAAGTTCCATTTTTAAGGAGGGGGTGTCTAAGAAAATGAAACATCTTCAGGCAGCAAACAAAAATTTAAATATTGACTCATCGTTAAATTTTATCTAACATTAAATCCCCCCTCCCTCCTCCATAATAGAATAAAATATTAAATTGTAACTTGTTGGATTGCCCAGTTGAATCTGACTAACTTTACGACTCGTGGCACCGTGAGATTGGTTCAAAACTAAAAATTGAATAATTAAAAAATAAGCATTTTATAATTCGCATATCAAAACCATTACCCTGCATTCACGGTAAACGCGAATTCACGGAGGAGAATACACCGCGTATTTTTATATAATTGGCCGCGAAATTCGCACTAACTATGAATGAGGGGGTTATATATAATAATATTTTGAATAAACATGTCTTAAAATTCCTATCCTTGCAATCAATGAGCAAAAGAGTTAGCCAGGAGGCCATTTTCGTGATGCTTTCCCAAGCGGAATCATTTTTAGTATCGATTTCCAACAGGTATCTATATATTTATTTTAAATTTAATAATCAAAAAATTACAAGTTAGAATTTTTAATAAAAAAAAAATATCGTCTTTTAAATCTCCTAGATGAGCACTTTTGTAAGATTCTTAGAATATTAAATATTTGGCCTAATCATATTTCTCCCATTTTAAATTTGTAGCCCCTCGAGGATCGTTAGATCGTATTGGACATACATTACATTTTTCAAACTAAATTAAAATTTCTTCCTTTGTTTTTATTATTAAACTTCAAAATATCTTTTTGTTCCTCGAGAGTAGACGGGTAATCGAACAGCCTATTTCGTAGCAATTTTTTGAGACCGTCCATTTTAGAATCGGCAATATCAAATACTTTTAAAAATCAAATTTTTTTTAAAATAGATGATCATTTAGATTAGATATAGATACAAAATAATATATGATATAGTAAGTGGGCACAAACTGAGCGTTTCAAATGCTGCGTTGCAAAGGTAAGTAATTTATTACAAATGGTGTCGTGCAAATTGATCAAATTATCACTTGGCATTAGAAAACACTTATAAAATGCAAATTGGATTTTTTTAAATACTTCTTCATTCACTCATTTTGCAATGCAATGTTATATAAAATGTAAAAAAAAAATTAGCGTATCTTAAAAGGAATATTTAGAAATTGACTAGATGAAAAGTCAGACGATAGTATAATTAATTTACAAAAACCAATTTTTATAACTTATTTAAAGTTTTAATTCTTCGATACAAAAATAATGACAACCTCAATTTAAACAAGGGATGCGCTAAGTTTATTTTTATTAAAAAGGTACGGTAAAACGCAAACGCTCAATTTGGGCGCACTATAAAAAGGAATGAAAAAAAAGCAGACGATAAATTACTAAAATTTTATATTATTAAATAGATATTTTAAGAGATAAATTTAAGGAATAACCTCTTTTAAATATAGGTATGTCCGCTAATCCCCCTGAACTGCTGACACTAGTATTTTGAACGTTGGGAACTAAGCCAGTGATGGGAACATTGTAAAAATAAAGAGATTTAGCACGATTGTAATCGTTTATGGCCATTGCGTAATCTCCTATATAAAATTTAAAAAAATACATATAAATTAAATAACGAATCAGATAAAGAATAGCGATACGACCAGAATATTTTATCCATCCTACTATGATATATAAAGGTAAAACATGTTTATTACTTTATTTTCATAATTTAGAGAATTTGATTTTAATTCCATGAACATCTAATTTTCCTCGTTTACCCTAAATTCACAGCACGAATTCGCGGCGAAGAATAAAAAATGCATAATATTATGTATACTTCGTCGCGAATTCACGCTAACTATGAATTCAGGGTTACGCTGAATTTATGGTATGCCCGATTCGCTTAAGCGATGCCAGATTAATCGCTAGCGAAATAACAGCAGATATCACAACTATAATATTTTTTGAAATATAAGTTAAAAGCGGTGGTGATTTCATTATTTCGCTCAATATTTATAAATTATACCTATATTGGCTTGATTATTTCATAATAAAATAAATCATACTCAAATATATTGACAAATTTAATTTTAAACAGAAATAAATTATCATAATAATCTGATGATAAAATATATGTAATAAAGTTATAAACAAAATTAAAATGTATATTTAAATTAATTTTTAATTTTTAAGGCAAAGAGTTTTTTTTATATTTTCTTCCTTTATATGACATGCGTTTTTTTCACAACAAATTAGTTCCAACTGGGAAAAGTCTTTCACAAGCAGTTGATGTTCCTTCTATAGATAAGTAATCCCTTACCATTTTCGAGAGTATGGGGACGACATGCATTTGCCTTCCACCACATTAGTGGGACAGTATCACTCTTTGATCTTGGCTCACTCAGTTAAAAATCAATTTCACACAGATTATTTTGTTTTAAAACAAGGTCTAATCTCTTTTCTTAAATTTCATCATTATGTAGCTGTTATAAATCTCTTTAAATTTGTCCATTAACTTGGATATATCAATATCATAATCAGCAGATATTGATTTAAAATATTCTATTGCATCATCAGTAGTTAAATTATAATGGCCCAATATCATATGCTAACCATAATTAAAAGATTTATAGAAATCCATTTTTTAGGTGTTCAAGAATTAGAATATAATAGGGTATAAACAAATTATAAGTAAGATAATTCTCCCCCACATACCATATTTGTAGTTTCCTATAAAGGCAATAGGATAGCTTTAATTTTTATAAGATCCTCCTATTCCTCCTATATGTTAACAAAGTATTATATTATTCCCCACTTATAAATTTTAGTTTACCTCTGATAATTGCTTTTCTTGAAGCTTTATAATATTAGTTATTACTTCATCGACTTGCATGCTTTAACAATAAACCTTTTTCAATAATTGGGTAGGTGCCATTCCACCGATTCAAAATATGGCAAATAAAAATTTAAGTATTACTTCAATTTTCACTTCAAATATTTTTAAATTTGTGCTAATCCTTTTATATAATCACATCACATCACCTGTTAGATTAGCCGGTTATCAAATAGAAATGGCAAATGTTAGATTTATTAAAAGCAATTTATTAAATATTCCAAATAATTCGTTTTATTCGAATTAAATAAATGATCGTATTCGGAATCGAATATTTTAATTTTTTTGAATAGGCATAACCGTGATAATGGTAACGCGATGCGGCGTTCATGCGTAAAAAATAATATAGATGTATAATTTAGTATTATGTAATTTAAGCTACGGTATCACTCTTTTTCGTCATCGTCATAAACGAGGCAATACCATCAGAATGATCAAAAAACCGCATTTGGGTCAATTATTAAAAACGACCCGATTAAGCTTTTAGCCAAAACAATATTATGTAAAGCCTAGAGATTTCGTTCGTATATGGCAGAAAAGTTTAGATATCTTTGCCAAATCTCTAGACTTACTATATAATATTATTTTAACTAAACATGGGCCCTACCCTCCGTGATATAGACTTTAAAAAAATTAAGTTTTTTTTAAATATTTTTGATTATAACTTATTATTTTAAAACCATTTTGGTGTAATTATTTTATAAAGAGTTGGGGTTGATGGCCACTACCCATAATAACATTGTATTAGATCATAAATTTCATAGATGTCCTTTATTTAACGTTAATTTTATTTTATTTAAACACAATTTTTTTTTATATAATTGTTAAAAACATATCATTTTATTTATTTTTCCTTAAAATCCATAATCATAATAAAAAAAAATAGGTAGCACTAATAATCACAACAGTAAGCACCTTATAAATCTCAAATAAATTTTTTTAAATTAAGGTTAGAACAGAAAAAAAATACATTTTATAGTGTAACAAACCTTTGGCTATCCATTTTGTGAGAGCTCTGGGGAGATTGAAACAGATTCTAAACCTATTGATCAATGCTAAAGCGTTTCGAGTCGAATCAGCTTTGGCCTTATTACCCAAGATGTCGGAAAAGAGTGATTTGGCCTTTTCGTTTGCTTCTATAATTAACATAATCCAGGCAAAAAAATTTGATATGTATTTTTAATACGATTTTGTCAGGAAAAGATGGACCTAGGGAAAGGGGAGGGATAAGGATCTGATCAACATGTAGAAGTGGTAATCTCTGGATATTTAATTGCAAGTTTATTCATTCTATAAAGCATTTTTTAGAAAAAAAAACATTTTAAAACGTGATAATTGGTGTTCCAGCTGATCGAACAATTTGTAAGAGGCTTGCGGGGAAAAAATTTGAGCGTCTTCTTCCATTTTATGATTCAGCGCTATTTAAATTTTGTTTAAGAAAAAATTGGTTTAATATAATTTTGGCCAAAAAATATATTATTGATAAATTTGATTAGAAAAATAGTATGGCTTTATCAAGGAATGGGCAAGTATCTAGATACTATTCAATACTTTTATAAAATTATATATCGCAATCACATGGTGTCTTTTTCCAATACATAAGTATCTTTTCCCAATAAATATGTATCTTTTCAACACCATGTGACTAAAAAGCTATATACATATATATTAAAAATCAATTTTCCTTTACCTAATTTAATTATGGGGAAGAGAGAGTATTAAACTGTTATAAAAAGCATCAACTATAAGTCATTCATTCATCAATAAGATTACGATGTAGGTGTAAGTTTTTTAAATTTATTTTATTATATATATAATCACAAACTTTCTAAAGAATCTAAGCAACCCAGGAAAGCGGTGAGATTCGTCTTTATGAAGGAGTAGGGGCCTTCAGTCTTGAGGTTAACATTTGCCTTGAGATATTCCAAACCGGCTTTGAGTTCTTCGTAACTGGCGTAAAAAAATATAACCGTTAATAAAATGGGAAATGTGATAAATTGAATTAAACATTGTAAACTATAAGATGTTTGGGGAATAAATCAAAACGCTAAAAACAAGGTGGAAAAGCCCATTATAAGTGAAAAAAATGTAAGAATATTAGTGTTAGAATACGATTTAAATCAATATTGGAATAATAGAATCCATCAAGATTCGGAAACCTTTCAATTTTAATATTTTATGGAATGCGATTTTCAAATTTAAAAATAAATTTGATTTGACTAGAAATGTATTCCAGCATGTGTAAAGTATATCTTATTCAATCTATTAAGATGGAATTTCGTTGAAGTTTTTCACGTGGAAGGGAATGAATGCAGGCAGGTTAAAATATGGTAGGAATCGTTAAAAATATAGTGGATGTAATGGCAAAATAATTTTTTTTAAAAATTGATTATTAAAATTTATCAATTAAACAATGAAATTATATCTCATTAAATAGAAAGGTTAAAAAATTTGTTTAACTATCACATATTAAGCCAATAGTCTTTCTTAAAAATAAAAAAGTCAATTGTGGCTAAGGCCATACCAAATCGTTTTGATGTTTGAAGCAAACTGTTAAATAAATTTATAAGAATTAGAATATAAAAAAAATATGCTCTCAATACTCTAAAACTATGTTATAATTATATTTTTGTTTATTTTAAATTTACAAGTAAAACTAAAAAATTATATTAAATGTTAACATGTAAGTCATAAATGTCAATATTACTAAATATAAAAATATCTAGGTAGGAATTTAATTAAAAGTTTGCACCGGCTAAAATTTTTTATATCCTCTATTTAATTGAGTTTAGATTCTATTCTTATGATATAAACAAGTTATAAAAATTAAATTAATAGATATATTCAATATTAAAATATGATAAATTAATAAGTATATATCACCCAATCTATAAATAGGGGTAGTGTTGTTAATTGGTTGGTTGTGCAAAACCCAGACCCGTTGGGGGTCTATAAAATTGACCAAACCAGCTCTGAGCACGAACCCCGAGCACAGACCCACCCAATAAAAAGTAAAAAATAAATAAATCTCATTTAAGCTTTGTTTATTATAAAAAATATTTACCAAAAATATAAACATGACAATTTCTATGGTTCTCAGCTTAGGGTTAAAAAATTTTAATCGAGACCACTTAGGGCTTAGAAATACCAAAAAAATAGGACTAAAATGAATTATTATGTTGGTTAGCCGAGCGATTAATTCCAGCTATACCATCCTAGCTCAGAATTGAACTTTATGCCGGATTTGTTTAATTTCATTGCTATATTTTTTTCTAATTTTAGAAATGTATGTTACATAACATAAGTACAATTGATAACATCAGCTTATAAATTTGGCAAGATTGAGCTCGAATTGGGATATTTAGAATACTTTTGGAACGTTTTTATTTGGGGGGGGGGGGGGTTGGTTACAAACAAACGTCTTTTTTCTTGCCTATTCTGAAATCAAAATATATATAATCTTCAATTTATCCTTTTCATAAAAAAATAAAAATTAATAATAAACTTGACTTCCAAAATATAAAAAAACTTAATTTTATTTTTAAAATTAAAGTTAAATTTAATAAAAAAAATATTTTCTTAAAAAATTAATTATCTTAGTAAATAACTTAAAAAAAAATAAAGCAACTTCAAAAATATAAAAAAAATGCATGTGACTGCCATTTTTCATCACAAAATTATTAGTGTGTTAAACGGCTCGATTTAAGCCAATTTTTCAAAACGGCTAACTCAATATTTTATCCAGAAAAATATTACTCAAGCCTGAAGATTTTGCTCATAGATGGCACAAAGGTCTAGAAATCTATTAGCGAAATCTGGAGCCTTAGGTACTAATTCTTTGGCTAAAATAGTGAGTTAGCCGTTTTTAAAAATCGGCTCAAAATGAGCAGTTTAACAACACTATATAAATTTAAAACATAATTTATTATTAATATTTAAACATGCATGACGTTTAATTTAATCTTTATTTTTTATCCACATTTAATTTCAATTAAAATCTTACTTTATTGTATATTTAAAAATAATAATACTCGTTTCACTTCACTGTAATCGAAAATTATGTGGACGAGAAATTAAATTTGTTTATAAAAAAGAATACATATTGTTAATGTCATAAGTGAGTCAATTGTTGGGGAAATGAAGACGTCAATATATATTCAATGATTTTTGAAACTAATGATGAGTCGTGTTTATACATATATTCGCGTTTTATTTTTAAATTATAATAATTAAATTTGGCGAAATCATTCTGAAAGTGTGTTTAAATTTTTTTTGATATGTTATTTTTATACAAAAATTAGTTAGAGATATGAGAAATTTTTATTATTTTGTGATGATTTGTGCTTCCCTATAAAAGGGAAGCGAAATTGTAATTTTTTTACAGTTAATTTTCTTCGCTTTAAAAATTATAATATTTTTTGGTTAAATAATAAAGTTAAATTATCAAGTTAATTTGTAGTTTGAATTAATAGTTGAAGTGGACAACGTGATAGTTAAAAGAAAAGTTTTATATAGAAACTAGAGACGCCACGCTATATAACATATAGGGGAGACTGGGGTTAGTCGAACGAATTTTTACAAAATTGGCTATAGCTCTTGTTGTTTTATAGATAATATAAAAAATAATATGTGATTGGATACCTAAAACTATACTCTATAAAGGTGCCTTATAAATAATCTTAAGAATATAAATCATTTTTTTTAAATTTAATTTTTTGTAAAAGTGAAAATTTTGTTCAACAAGCCCCAATAGCGGGGTGAGGCAAACCACTTCAAGGGGCTTCCTAAACCATTGGGTTTTTTAGGGCATAATAAATTGAAATGCATTTTTATTTATTAATAATGATATGTATAGAATAATTTTATTGTTTTATTGTTCAAAATATCATAATACTTATTTGAAGCTAATTATATATAAAAATTGAAACTTAATTTTGGCTAATTTAATAAACATTTTGGACATAAAAAATATGAATTTTAAGGAGATTAAGATTTCTTAGCATAAATCCTAAATACCAAACATAAACAGCCATGAAATTGCCTTTTCAAGATTTTGAAATTTTTTTCATTATTAATTGCCATAATTGACGTGTATGGTTTAGCAAACCCCGCTAACTCTAAATTGACAAATCATGATTGAAATAATATCTAGATTTGATAAATACTCATAAAACTTACCCAAATTATAGAAGAATATTTAAACTTTGTAATAAAATTTAATTTACATATAAATGATTATATATTTTAATAAAAATTAAAATTCTGTTATGTAAAAATCTTTTGAAAAAATAAAATTTTTAGTAATTAATTATTTCAAAATATATTTTGTCCTAGATGTATACTAATGAAAACTATATTAGGATAAAATTTTAACCTTCTGGTGTATTTAATTTTAAAATGAGATTAAGTGGTTTGCCAAGCCCCGGGGTTTACCTAACCCCAGTCTCCCCTATCTTTTATTTTGAGTAATTATAAAAAGTAATTTCTATATTTAATTATATTCTGGTAGGGGTTTAAATATTTTTATTAAATACCTTTAAAGTAATTAATATTTTAAAATTTAAATCTATAATATTAAATCCGCAAGATGGCATATTATTATTTTTTTTAATTTTAAATTTTTTTAATTATATTTTTAAAAATTATATTAAAATTTCTACTTAAAAATCAAACTATAGTCCATTTATTATCTATGAAAAAAATTTATTAGCACAAATTTACGTTTAAATTGTTAGAATTTGAATATAAGTTTCAGTGACCATCTATATTTAAATTTAAAATCCTAAACTAAAACAAAATGATATTTTTAAAATAAGTTTTTAATAAGGTTCCATTTTATATATCAATACCCATAATAAAAGGGCCGTGGCTAGAACTAACCCCGATATTATTAATAATCATACATTTTATCACATGACAATTCATTTTCAGATGATAACCCGCTATGTTTAAAAATTAATACTTCCATTTTATTAAAAATAAACCTAATAATATTTCAGAACAACCATAAAAGCAATAATTTTTCTTAATTATTTTATCAATAAACCTGCCGAAGTAGATACTAGGAACTAGAGTGCATTACAAAACTCTTTTAAAGTTATAATTTTTCTTAACTTATTATATTTCTAGATTTAAATAGTCTATGATAATATCCCTTATCCTACTTATAATTAATAATAAAATCTTAATTTTTAAATGAGCTTGCCAGATTTTTAGACCCAAATCCTACGTTAAATAAATCCATTAGATATTTTTTTTAAAAATACCTGAATATTTAACTTTATATAATAAATTGTGAAATATTCATATTTTATTTACAGATGACACATCCTGGAGCAATATTTATGTGATATGCTTCATTTTCTAGCATGATTGAAGAATATGAGCAATTAAACTTAGTTAATTTATATATTGCAAGGTTTACCTTGTTAATAGCTCCTCACCCTGAAGAGCTCATAAATCTTCTTAAATATCAAAAGGATTATTAGTAAATATGGTGGCTTAATACAAAAAATAATGCTCAAAAAATATAAGGAATATATCAACATTCCGTAAAATGTGCTTATTTAAATTTAGTGTGTGCCTTAAACACAAGGACACTACAACTACATACTTCCTAAAAATTGTGTCAATGGTTGATAAACACACAAATCATGATTTAAGTAAAATTATACGTTAAAATAAATTTATAAAAATCGTATAAATAGATTTTTTTTAAAAAAATTGAATCTCTTCCTAAAAAAAGATTACTTTCTCTCGAAGAAAGGGAATCGGTAGAAAAGTATTTAAACCTAAGTTTAATCCAAGAATTCATGTCAAAAATAGGGGAAAATATGACCCTTAAAAGATATTCACAATGTACAGACTAAATCAATAAATAAAAGGGTAACCATTTAGCCAGCATTTCTCAGCTGCTAAAGGGAAAGGAGCAAAAAGCTAACACAACTCCTCTTCGCAAAAACGTTCTTTTTCACTTGCAATTTTATTTTAATTTATAATTGCGCTTTTTATAAAAGAGACTAATTATTAAGTTTACCTGGTGGATCTTATATTTTAGTTTATAAATTTTTATAATTAATTAATTTTTTTACAATGATAAAATAGAATTTTTTTTATAAAATACTTGTCCGTTTGATGTTAAATAATTTTCGTTTCATTCTCGAGTTTTTTTAATTAAGTTTTTTTTAAAGTTAACATACTACGTGGCACATACGCTCACAAGGACAGACTGGCGAGGTGTCTCCTACTACCCGTAATTGAGGCCCCACCACTTCAGTATTAATATTATATTATAATCTTGATTTAATAAACTTATTAGAAATTTAAATCTGAGTTAAGTTAAAGTTAGCAATACAATATAAGGATATGCGAGATTTTACCAAATTACTGGAGAAGATACCTAATATTTTATATCTAATAAAGGTAAACCTTCTTGACCCTCCCGGCCCAATTCCCATTGACATTGGTGATTATTGAGTAGGACAACATTGTATTCAAAATATAATACCCATATAGAATTTATATATAATTAAAAGTTAAAATTATTCCTGTCAATAAGATCTAGATCCGCACTATATTATGGTAGAGCGAATCTGAATATTATTATATAATCTTACAACTGTTATTCGATAACCATTATCATATCAATATTTAACGCTGATCAAGTTATTCAGATCCCGCCCAATAATTGCTTTACCCATCGAGAGGAAGCACTTGACTTGCTTTCTATTTAATGGATCTTTAATTAGCTATCGATAGATACCTCAATCAACCATACATGCTTTTATAAAGTCAAGAAAAACAACTTAAAATATATGGGTTTGTGCCCTGGATCTGAAACCCGTGTCTGTGCTTGGTGTTCATGCTCAGAGTTGGTTTAGTACGATTTTTATACCCAAGCCCTGGGTTTTATGCAACCAACCTATTAAAAACACTAACCATCAGTCTGAATCACTCCCTTTTTTATGGTATAGGATCAAGAGGATATTTATAATTTTTAGAATAAACTTAAATTTTATATGCTACAATTAAATTAAATATTTGATTAGTTTGGAATAATTAGAATGATTCGGAGTAGAATTAAAAACGAGTAATATATTAAATATATTCTAAAAATTTTTTAAATTACTTTTCAAATTTAATAAAATGGGGGTATTAAGGTTTCTTACAATATTACCCACTTGTCTAAATTAATATATAAAAATATCAGAGGTTGCACAAACCAATACATCTTTTTGCCAATACCAATATTGAGTCTTTTTTAAATTAAAATATAATCTAAAAAAATATTTGTTTAGAAAATTTGAAGAATAACAAATATTATATGAATTTCCACAAAAACATTTTTTGCTATTTTTTATAAATTTAACTTTTTAAATTTTTAAATGTATCTAATATAATATATTCTTTGATCTATTTCTACAACAGCCATTTTATAAATTTATAATTGGATCATACCTATCCCAATGGCTGGCTTTTCAAGCTGACTTTACAGATCTCTAATTCATCAATAAAGTACATATACTCAAACACTCATAAATTTCATTATGTATAATATTTTTGGAGAAAAAATAGTAGGTAAAGGAAATAATATCAAAACATAGTGGTCAGATTAATATTAATCTGATAATTAGATCAACTCAGCATCGATATGCAGGATATTCACTGGATGCAAACGCCCATAAAAATCTGTCTACCCCTCTAAAAAAATTCACCACCTTCAGTGCCGATATTCCCACATTATTGATTATACCAATTTTTATTTTCAAATAAATTTTAAAAAATGGAAATGTTTTACATTAAATCTAGTCAACACCACTGTAGTATATTGTTTGCACTAATATGAGTTTACTGATAGAATTTTTAACCCTTTTAATACAAAAATGATACAAAAATAGTTTTATTTGGAAAACAATGTCTATGATTGTGTGCCATATATAGATTTGGTTGATGTTTGGTTAATTTATATAACAATACATTTTTAAAGATTTGATAGATAACAACCCATTAAATTTATCCTAGCCATAGTCTACCACCCTTAAATCCTACCCCTACTCACCCACAAAAAATTTTGGATGCAAACTGTTTCTGCCCCTCCCACTCATGTAGATGCTGGATCAGCTTACCTCTGATTAGTTTTAGGGCTAACAAACCATATTATGAGGAAAAATCTTCAACTTAATAATGTGTGATAATTTTTTTTATACAATATCAATATACTTTAGTATAAAATATTAAAAAGGAAAATTCACACTTTAACTGATATTCATTTTTGAATAGGCCTAACAAGAATATTATTTAATAATAGATTTTAAAAGTGCATAATTAGTACATTTTCATAAGAAAAACTTATTAAGTTCTCCTTGCCTAAAAAATCTAGCTTTTAAAAATTGTGATAAGCTCCAGATATGCATGCAACAAAAATATAATATACCTGTTAAAATGATGATTTTCCAAAAGGTACCATGATGGTAAAAAATTTTCTTGCATAAGATTACCTGAATTATCAGGATACAATTCTTGTATATCATCAATGGGATATTTTTGGCTAAAAAATAGGAGGAACATGTTTAAAAAAAGTTCAAAATATCAAAGAAAAGAAATATATTGTTATGTGAATATTTTTTTTTAAATATAATTATCTTCATTTTCAGTGAATACCATAATTAATATATTAATAAAAAAATATAAACATTTTATCTTTTCCTTTGATGTCAGCTACTAAATTAAGTGGATCATCCAAAAAGTTAGTAATTTCTAATTTTGAAAGTGGTTGATTTTTTGGAAGTCCTATCGGCACAAAATATTTGGATTCATCTACCCATACTGCCGATTCTTGTAATGGCCCTAAATTTATATAATAAAACAATAGTAACAATTTGTATATCAAATTATTACCTGCTTGCTCAAAAAATCCTCTAAACTGAACTGTACTTGTTCCAACACCGCCAGATATAGTTACAACAATAACATCACCTTTCCCTTTACAAGGCCCAGTTCTAGCTAATATTTTATTTTTAGATATCCATTCAGCAGTTAATAAACAATCAACTTGACATATTCTTAGGGCTTTAATAATATTAAGTTTTATAAAAATTAATATTTCTTATTACCTATTAAATCTCTAGCATTATTGCCTAAATTTTCACCTCTAATGGCTATTTTAGTTCCTGGCGGACCTTCTTTAGGCGAGATCCCAGTGACCATAGGTTCTTTAGTAGGTGGAGGAGGCATTATTTAAAAAACATATGGCTAGCACCGTAGATGAGCATTTAGTAGAATGCATGAAACCTACCACAAAATTTTCTTAGCTAACATGACTGTCAGATTTAACTTTTACTACCAATTGGCATTATATAACTTATACTAAAATAGAAGTAGTCATTATTTTATTTCTATTGCTTTGTTTAAAAAAAATTTGCTAAAGATATAAAAAGATAAATATATAGGACTAGCACCCATAATTGGTTTGTCTTAATCAAAAATAAGAGTACAATTATAAAATAAGTATGGATATTAAAAATTTAACATAAGTAAATCGAAAATTATCGAGAAGAAATTTGAGCGTAGCAGATATCGTCCATTAAGAATTTCAATCAAATTGTAAATTTCAAGGGATTACGCTTTACACTGCTTACTACCCAATGGCATAAATTCCCCTCCCATACACCAGGCCAAAAATTTTTAATATCGGCTGAAATATTTTTCAAAAATATTACCGATTACTAAATCTTATTGCATATATATTCCAATTTACATTTATTTATCACATTTGTCCGAAATAAATACGCTAGTGTAATTCAATAGAATAGAATGTTTTATTCTAATAATAATTATTATAACTTTTATCAAACATTAATTTAATAATAGATTATTATCTAATAAATATTGATCAATATCTTCATTAGTCCATATATTAAAGTGGCGAAGAGCAAAATTCAGAATAAAAATGAAAAATAGATGATAAAGATAAAATCCGATAGAATGAAAAGGGAGCTATGATAAAATAAATGTATAACTTGATAAAATAAATTAGCACAAATTGACAATAAATCTATCGAAATGAAACAAAAAAGAAATCGGCTATTATCGGTCAAATAATACTCTGGAAATATATGGGACGATAAATTCAAAATTAAAAAAAAAGGGAATTTAAATATACATTTATGAAATAATTGATTTAATAGTTAATAAAATAAAAGGAAAATTTAAAAAAAAATCGTGAATAATAAAGAAAATTTAAGAAAAAATAAATAAATAACGGCTAAAATATAAAAATGAATTAAAAATTAATATTCAAATTTTTTTTTATAAAAAAGAAAAGTTACAAATAAGGGATTCAAGAGATTCAAGATTTTAATGTAAGAGTCAATATCATTTGTAAAAATGTGGAAATCTCAGGCGTTATTATAAAATTTAAAAAAGTCTAAATAAAAAAACTAAGGTAAAAAATAAATAAATAGTAAAACGTTAAAATGAGATGATCCACAGATGTATTTGCAAACATTATTCTTATTTAAATTATTCATAACCTTAACCTAACATTATTTTATCCTAACATTATTTTATAAATCGGCTCAGGCATAACCTTAGCTAAACTAAATCGGCTCAGGCATAGCCTTAACCAACTTAGGCTAGACTTAGCCAAAATAATTATCATAGGCTTACCTAGCCTTAAAAATTGTCTAAGCCAATACTGGGGAACAAAATGCTGATATTGGCTAGATGCATTTTTACAGAGTTCATAAGGTCTGCTATCATGGGTTAATCTAAGTATAAAATTATTATTTTGTGGCGGCGATTCAAACAAGGAAGTAAACAACAACTTGTCCAAAATAACCTTAGATGCTACTTAACATTATTAAATAACCATTGTTGTTAAGGAAAAAGTAGAGCGATAATACTACGATTTTAAATTTGGTATTACAGAGAAATCATCACCATTTTTTAAGTGTCAGAGATAGAAGATCTAGAATGAAGAGGAGTAGGAAGCTATTTTGTCCAAGGGTGCCTAGGATTAAAGAGGTAGAGAGTAGTGTTAATATATATATTTATAAAATGGTTTTGGTCGCTGCTATTACCTATTCACATGCATCATAGATATCAATGTAAAAGATATATTAGGAAATAGTGAAAAAAAATAGCTTTCATAAAATAAATGATTTGAAACTTTTGGCATTCGCTTCCCCCAGCTTCAGGTATTATAAAAATTAATAATTGTCCGAAAAATGAACCTGTTTTAGCTTTCCAATGTAAAATATCAAATTTTAAAAAATCTTTTTAAACACAATAAAACATAAGTATACCCAGGCAGTCTTATAGTGATAATTTTATTTATCATAGAAACCCCGTATTAGTTATCATTGTTTTGTGTAATTGGAATACAAAAAGCCAACATATATAAGAAACAGGATCTTAAAAGAAATAAGTAGGGATATCTGACATCAAACATGTTACATCAAAGCTTCAATTTTCACTGGACAGAGGAATAGAAATTCATAATGAAATTCTGGAAAATGTTAAAATCGAGAATATATTTTTTTAAAACTTCTAGAAACAGGAATTGCACAAAAGGGAAAACTCTAAAAGATGGGGAAAGTTATAAGGGGGATTTATATATTCTACTCAAAAATGAATATAGGTTTCATATATTTCCAAGTTCGGAAATTATTATAAATTCAATAAGACGCAGTAACATGAAATTATGACGTGCCTATTTCTAGGCTAAGTGAAAATAATCATTTGATGGCATTTTTGATTATTGAGAATCTGAACTAATTTTAAATTCGAACTTTCAAAAAAATATTATAATATAACGAAGAAAATTCTATTTATAACAATCTTTTTTTTTTATGAAAATGCATATTTTAATTTCGCGTAAAATTTTAATGATTAATAAATTAGCATAATAAAATTTAAAGAATTTATAAATTATTATATCAAAATTTAAAAATAATTTATCTGCCCGAAATAAAAAAATAAAATATATATCGCATATCGTATTATTACAAATCTCCATTTCATAAACGCTACAGATATATTTAATCCCAAAAAACTTCTTTATATAAGGGATGATTATATGAGACACTGCAGCTTTTATAAATAGGTTGTTGTAATAATTGGTCATCATTTGGTTCAATGATGGAAATCGAGTGCTGATCATAAACATCATAAATATCTCTGTTGATTTCATCGACTCCGACCAACGTTGTTAGTTTACTCATTGATGAATTAAATTTTCGTGTAATATAGTCCCTTATTTTTTTGGTCTTCGTATCAGATTCAGATTCCTTCGAAAATAACTGCTTTAAATCAATCGAATCATTAGGATATGGCTCATCATTGGAGTCATGATTATTATCTGCAATTTTTTTAAATTTTTTAAAAATGTTTTTATCGGCACTGGAATAGGAATAATTAGCAGACATCAAAGTGCCTGTCTTTTAAAATATTTATTCTTAAATAGTATTTATTCCGTGCATATATATATATATATTTTTAAACTTACCACTTATACTAAAATTTATTTCACTCCCAGAGTCATCTAGAGTATCCATATTTTTTTGATTCGATTCCTGTTTTGAGTTTTCATTTTTATACGATAACTTTTCTTTTCTGAAATCGCCCATAATCTCCTTTGTTATATTATCTAATTCATTAACACTTGGTATGAGGCAAGCGTAAGATTTTAACCTTAATATTTCTCTTTTTTCAAGATGAAGCAAGTTCTTTCCGTTACTTCTCTTATATTCAATATAGATATCATTTTTATTCATGTATTGTTTCATAAGATCAAATCTATTCCTGATTAAATTAACACACTGAATATCTCTCCATAAATTGTTCATTCTATGGGCCATTAAATATATTATATTCTCCAATCGCAGATGATTATCAATATTTTTTGACATTTACAATAAAATTAATTGAAACGAAAATTAAAGGAACAAAAAATAAAAAATTTATAGGTTCTAAAACAAAGGCTCTTTTTTTTAAAAAAAAACATTATAATTCGATTAAAAAATATATTATGTTCAATCTAAAAATATTTATTGTATAAAATGTATAATTAGTTAATTTCCTTAAAATTTTAGCATCTGTTGCCAATTTATATATTGAAATTTTAATTATCTTAATATATTGGCTTAAGAATTAGAAAATTATTATAAATTTAACGTTTAGAGTATTTGTAAATCTTTCAACAAACAAAAAATTTCTTAAATTTTTTTTCACTATTTATAAGGAAAAAGTATAAATATCAGAGCCCAGGCCGGGCCGTATTTTAAATTTTAAAAATATATTCGGGCCGGTCCTGAAAAATTTTTTTTTAAAAAAACTCGCGCCGGGCTGGGCCTGAAAATTTTTTTTAATAAAATACCCGGGCCGGGCCGTATTTTCTTAAAAAAATTTATACAACATGAATTATTATAATCGTCAATTAGATATGGTTATAATGATTATATATAGTTATATGTTTAGTCAAAGTTAACACTAGCTAACACTCATAGTATCTATTACATAAAATTATAGTTTTCATACCATGGAATAAATACGCAAAGGATTTTAAATACATTATTATATAATATATGTTATATTTTTTCTTAATTAAAATCAATTTTATTTTTTTTATAAATACATAGTATATTCTCAAATATTATTTACACAAATTTTTTAAAGTATCAATTTGTAATACACTAAATATCTGTTTAGAATAAAAATAAATAATAAACCGCTCGTTTTGAGCCGATTTTTAAACGGCTAACTCAGTTTTTTATCCAGAAAAATAATATGCAAGCCTGAAAATTTTGCTCATAGCAAGAGCAAAGGTGTCTAGACATATAGTATCGAAATTTCGAGGCTTAGTTAATATATTCTGGCGAAAATATTGAGTTTGTCGTTTTTATAAATAGGCTCAAAACAAGCCGTTTAACAACATTAGCTAATATGCTTGCTTATTAAATGATAATACTTACCGAAAAATATGATAAAATACCAGAGGTATTTGTATATACCAGGTTGAATAAAATTGTAAAAAATTCCGAGCCAGGCCTAAAAATATTTTTTTAAAAATCCGGGCCGGGCCCAAAATAATTTTTTCTAAATATCCGGGCTGTGCCGGGCCGTAAAAAATTTTCGAAAAATAAATCCGGGCCGGGCCTAATTTTTTTTTAATCCGGGCCGGGCCGTGCAAATGAAACCTCTGATGGTCTCTGATTTAAATATAAGGCATAACATTAAAATAAATATTTTTAGTTTGAGATTTCATCTCTGGGCTTGGACCAAAAATTAAATTTTGCAAGTTTCTAATATGTTTGTAGTTGATGCTTAAGACCTGAACTATAGCTTGCAGATATCTTTTCCCGTCATGATACACATTTTAAGGATTTCAACGCCTGAAACTTGCATCTGTTGTCTCTTCCTCGTAGATTGCATCAAATTGCATTAACACAAAATACAAGTATTATGTATACTCATATATAAAATCTTTTGTTTGGTTCTTGTGCCTAATTTTTTCTTTGTTGACAAGAACTCCCCATTTTGTTAAAATTATGTATTATACCTTTTTTATTTTTTGTACCACCATAACTAAATTATAACTTAGATAATAAAATCTCCCATATTTTTTTCTATTCTTTGTAATTATCAAAATTTTATTATTGATATATGCTTGTATTTTTATAGGCTATCAGTTTTCAATTAATCGGATTTAATTAATGTTCAAATATTAGGCTGATAACAGTGATTCAGATTTTTTTGAATAATTACCACAAGGATTGCATTTCTTTAATAAAAAGGTAATAAAATATTTTATTATTACTTTAAAAAGTTTAGAATTTTTACAGATTGTTAATAATTAAATATATTTATCAGAGACCTGCAGAGGTACCATTTGTACGGCCTGGCCCGGATTAAAAAAATTCGCCCCGGCACAGCCCGGGTTTAAAAATTTTAGGCCCGATCCAGCCCGGATATTAAAAAAAAATTTTTTGGGCCCGGCCCGGATTTTTTTACAATTATATTCAACCTGGTATATACAAAAAATTCACCTCTTTGGTATTTTATAATATTTTTCGGCGAGTATTATCATTTAAAAAGCAAGCGTATTAGCTAATGTTGTTAAACGGCTTGTTTTGAGCCGATTTTTAAAAACGGCTAACTCAATATTTTCGCCAGAATATATTAACTAAGCCTCGAAATTTCGATACTATATATCTAGACCTTTGCTCTTGCTATGAGCAAAATTTTCAGGCTTGCATATTATTTTTCTGGATAAAAAACTGAGTTAGCCGTTTAAAAATCGGCTCAAAACGAGCGGTTTATTATTTATTTTTATTCTAAACAGATATTTAGTATATTATAAATTGATACTTTAAAAAATTTGTGTAAATAATATTTGAGAATATATTATATTAATTTTGTATTTATAAAAAAAATAAAACGGATATTTTAATTAATAAATAATATAACATATATTATATAATAATGTATTTAATCCTTTGCGTATTTATTCCATGGCAGGAAAACTATAATTTTATGTAATAAGATACTATGAGTGTTAGCTAGTGTTAACTTTCACCAAACATTATATTAATCATAACTATATATAATCATTATAACCATATCTAATTGACGAATATAATAATTCATGTTGTATAAAAATTTTCAGGCCCAGCCCGGGTTTTTTTTAAAAAAAATTTTTCAAGCCCGGCCCTTGTATATTGTAAAAATTCTTCGAATGAAATATTAAGCAATAAATTTGATAACTTAATAATGTTTATCTACTTTATTTGATTTATTACAAAGTATGACATGAAAATGAATATTAATAGTTTCCCACCTACTGAACTTTTCTTATTTTTTTTAAAATTTATTTTATAATTTTGCGATAGATACATAGCAAAAATAAATAAAATTATTATTTTTCGGGATACGCGATTGGCCTATTTTTTTTTATATTCAGCAAGTAACACATACGATTACCAAAGTGATCTTCATGATAAATGTGTATAATGCCACTGTGAAACGGCTGTCAAATACGTCCGACCAACCCACAAATATAAATTAATAACAATAATAGTCATTCTAACAGATAAATTTAAAATCCAATGAAACTTTTAAAGTCCTTATTATAAAATAATTTATGGGTCACTATGATTTTTTGTAAAATTTTGAATAAATAATACCAAAGCTATTCATATGACATGAGTATTAAATAAACAATTTGGAATGTTGTGTATTATAACTAAATATTTTTAAGATTTGGTTTAATTCTGTACAAGACATTTCTATCCTAATTATACTGAAATAAATAAGCCTCCGGCATGTTTCATAAATCCCCCTATTTAATTTTAGAATCAGACTTACGAAACAGAAGCTTCCATCTAGACCATTTGAAATCTATTGCCACTAATCTATGGTGTACTTTCTAAATAATAGTATAATTTTTAGGGTTCATAAATTTTAGATTTATCATACTAAAACTATATCGTTTTTAAGTGGTCAATACAAGCTTGCTTTGGGAACATTCTATATAGTTATAAAGTAGCGTTTGATATCAATATTAACCAAAAATTAAAAATGTGTATTATAGTATCCATTATTTAGTATAATAATGTCATAGCTTATTTATATTTTTAATTAAAGTTTCAAAAGGTTGTAAATCAATTTTTTTTGATATTTTGGAAATAGCCTAAAACCAAGTTATCTTTGGAATGGAAGCATCTCTCTCTATCGGAGATGTAAATCTTCTCTTTCCAGATAACACGATGCGAGACCAACCATATTTAGCGTCCATACTCTTTCGCGACGAACGATTTTCTCCTTCAGACTTGGCAGTCTTGCCAATTCGGAATTCGTCAAAATTTTTCGATATTTTATTTTCGAGTAAATCTTTTGAGCGGGACTCGCCGAGTTCATCGTCAGCTTTTATTCGAATTACATCATTTTTTTGATCAAGATTGGCGGGGGTAGTATTCTCATTCATCGTACCGCTTTGAAATTCATTAAAATTAGTTGGCGAATCATGGTCAGACACCTTCTCGACTACTACACTTTTGTCTCGCGCACCCTCCAAGTTTTTGGGATCGATATTTTCGATATTTTTTACGTCCAAACCACCAGCATTTATCTCCCGTTCATTTTCTCTGGCAACACTTTCGGCTCGAGAATTGGGTATATCTGGTTCTGGGGTAATCAGCGGAGAATTGATATCGTACTCGTACAAAGCTCCCCTGAGTAAGAGTCGTTGCCTAGCCAAATGTATTTTGAGAATATAGGGCATATCGGGTATTAGGTAAGCTATTATCTCGGTCATGAGGAACACTAAATGCTTAAAAAGGGATTTTATATTTATTTAAGAAAGAAAAATTATAATAATTCAATGTGGGATGTATATTCGAGGTAAAATTATCAATACGGGACCAATTAAAGCGTGAGGAAACAACGCTCTAATATTATAGATGCAATTACTATACTATAGTATAAGGTCTCATTTATGGTAATTATTTTTCAAAAGCTGGAAAATAATAGGTAAAATTCTATGACTGCGCGATGCGATGAAATGATTTATGCTATAGATTTAAATTTTACTTATTATTTGCTGGCTTTTGAAAAATAACTAGCGATACGTGGTCGCATCGCTTGAAGAGCTTACTATAAATGAAACCTTATATCTCGATTTAAAACAACTGAGAAAAAAAAATGGTATGAAACAATTTTTCAATATGTAACTTAAATGTTATATGTTAAATAATTTTTTATTTTTTGAAATAAAATATTAGGTTGTTTGCTATATTTTAAATTTATTAGTTTTAAATGCCATGTAACTTAATATGTTACCTTTTCTAATACATCAATACCAATGGAAATTAATTTTGAATAAACCCAAAAATTTTATTTCGTCAAATTAAATTTAAAAACACTGTTTCTTTATTTTATTCATTGATATAAATAGCTTAAACTAGATAATATGTTGGGAGAAGTAAAAAAAAATTAAGGGCCTTGGACAAATCAATTTTAATTATTCAAAACAGTTGTTAATTTTGTGAATATTTAATCTCTAAAGGCAGTTACCTCACAATTTCCACTACTTAAATTATTCCTAGGATATCCTAAATTAAAAATATTCTACATCTTTCGAAACGTTGTCATGGTATATGTCAGGATATATTTAGGGCACAGGCGCATGCAAGATTTACTTACGGGAGGAGGGATTATACTCTAATGATAATAGTGTATTATTTATGTGGAGATGGGAGTTGATTTTTTTTTAAAAATAAATATAATATATATTTTTTTAATTCTATATATTAAACCTCAAAAATGATAATAAAGGCCAATCTGGTAACTAATATAACCCAATACTTGTAGCTCAGATTGAAAGGCGGAACGGCAATTCTATAGTCTCGATATCTAAAATTTCAAATAATATTTTTTTAATCAACAAATCGCTATATTATGAATAATCGTTAATTAAATCATTTAAATCGATTGTTTTATTCATATAAAATTACCATTTAAAAAATGAATAATATTTTGAATAAAAAATAGCAGTTTAAAAATCTATTTTTTTAAAAATTGATTATATAAAAATAAACTGAATGTATATAATAAACTTCTATAAAAATTCATTATATTGTTTTTTTTCAATTCAACGAAATGTGCAAAAAATCTGTACAATTATTTATGCCCAGATGGATTTATGCCTAACGTGAATTGGTTTCATAATTATGCCGATCATATATAGATTTTGCAAATGCTGATGGTAAACTGAAGATTCTTTGATTTTTTTTGTACAGATTTTTTAGAGAAATTATTATTATCTTTGTTACTTTTTTTGGGTTAGGATCAGAATATTTTTATTTATAATATTATTTTTCTTCACAAATTTGAATTATTAGTAGGTTGATTTATTTGCTGGGAAGCTATGTTTTGGTTCGACTTATTACTAAACAAGCCTGCGCCGGCTATATAGCTCTAAAAAGTAAGAGCAAAAAAACAAAAAAAAACAATGCCACCAAACACTTAAAACCAAAGTTAATAAGGCTCCTTTCTAAAAGGTGCTAGTTCTTGCTCCTATCATTTTATAAGGAGCTAGCTCCCGCTACTGAGATTTTAAAAGTAGTGCACTCTCGCTACTGAGATTTTAAGTTTTATAATATAAAGTACACAAAATAAAATCATATTTTTTATTTATTTATATATTTAAGTCAAAGATCATGATGATGCATAAAAAAAAAATTTATATTTGCCTTTTTAACAGTAATAAATTTTCAAAATTTGTATTTGGCAAGGGACCACGCATCTGCCCTTAAACTTATATTTTTATAATATAAACCTTTTATCATAACAGCGTTATAATAGATTCTACAGCGATTTACAAAAACCCGAAATCTGCTAAATCATCTAGAAACCCTTTATCTTTACGAATCTTCAAGGTTTTTGCCAATGGCTCTTTCTTCTCTTCTTTCTTTCATGTTATTCAATTCGAAAAAAGGATCTAATTTATATTTGGCGATATTCTCTGATAAATTAACGTTCCTGAGAATTAAATTATTAGGTCCTATGTTATCACATAAATTATCAAGATCTTAAAGTTTTTCGCTTAATATTTTTTTTAAGAATACCATGGATTCATATTATGTATGGACATAGCAAATATCTCCCCAATTTTCTAATTATATTATCATTTATGATTATATTTTGATCATTCCTTAAAGACTGATAATTTTGAAATGAACTTTTGAATATTAATTTTAAATCTCATAAAAGCTTTCTTCGCATCATATGTGACAAATAAATTGATATTGTCGCGGGAACAGAATGAATGTGGTGATAAAAATCATAACTTTCTGCTGTTTTAATTCAGTATACATCCACAAGTTAAAAATTTTCACCCATTTCGCAACTTTTATGCTCAAAAATATTAATTTTCATTATTATATTCAACAAATACATTAATTAAGATTATTCTTTAAATAATTTATTTAATAAATTTAAAAGAGAAGGTCCGCTCCATCCATAAAGGAGCTCCCTCTCTCTCTCCCAAGTTTTGAAGATAGAGGCATTCCAGATAATTTTGGAAAAATGTAGCAACGTACCAGGAAGGCTATACTAGTTTAAAACTTGTTCAGCCTATCAGCAATAAATATCGAAAATAAGTCGAACCAGAACACAGCCTGACAATTCATATTTTTATATTATTCGTTCATTAATTTTCCTATTATATTTCTTCTTATAATTTGGTATTTTATATGCTTATATATGCCAGAGACATGCAGTCCCGGCCCTAATCCCGGCCTGGGCCGGGCCTTAATGTTAATATACCCGGGCCGAGCCAGACCTAAAGATTTTTTTTTTAAATTCCGGGGATGAACCAAATATTTTAAATAGCCATTATTAACTATAAAAATTATAAATAAATATTATGTAGTTTAAAAAAGTTCGGGCCGGGCCGTGCAAATAGTACCTCTGCAGGTCTCTATAGAAAAAAAGGGAAACATATTGGATAAATAAAAAAATAATAATGAATTAAAAACCTACAGACGGTAATATTTTCCTTGTTGGCATAGCTATAACTTCCACTGAAGATTCCATCGATACTTCTTAAAGGTGGCTTAAGGAAGGACAAATTAAAGACGGACAGACTTTGGTTCATGTAACCTACGAGGGTGTATTTATTATAATTGGATTCGTTGTATAGAATATTGTTTTGAGCTGTGGTGTCATATTTCGAAAAATGGTATTTGTAAACCATCATGGGGATAAAGTCGGAAGTAAACGCTATAATCATGGCCTTAAGCAGTGTAGAAATTAGAAAAATAATAATAAAATAAACAAATTTATAGGGTGAATATTGCGAGGGAATTTAGGGTTCTTAAATTTTAAATGGAGGTTGTAAAGATAAAAGGTACCTTTAAAAACTGGGGGTAATAAGTCGATTAAATTTTATCCCAGCAGGCTAGCTCGCGGGCTGAAAAATAATATATTTTGAATAATTAGGACCGGGCCCAAAGAAAATAAAAAGCTCGGCCTGTGCTGAAATTATTTTTAAAAAATAGATAAAATTTATATCAATTAACCAGTCGAAAAATCACATCAGGGATCTACGTAGGCTAGTATTGTTAAGCGGCCCGATCAATATTTTAGCCAAAATAATATTATGAAAGTTTGGAGATTTTGCGTATAGATAGCGGACCTCTATTTGCCAGATCTCGAGGCTTACGTAATATTATTTTAAAATCTTGATCGAGTTTAAAATCGACCCAAATCGGGCCGTTTAACAACACCAATTCACGCTAACCACTATCGCGATAAAATCTTATTCAACCGTGTAAAAACTTACATTGGTAATTACGGCGAATTTAGTAATGACGTTTATTATATCGTACCAAACACCTAAATTTTTTAAAAAAATGAAGAATATATATATATTTTAATTCATTTATTAACCATCAAAATTTTATTTTTTTAATATCATCAAATAATTACTATATTCCAATAATAAACTAACATTTAATTTAAAAAAATATATTGCTCACTGAACTTGATAATTCGTTGTTCACAGCTGCTAATTTACACACTTTGGCGTTAAAGACTTTACAGATGATTTAAATGGTTAAAAAATAAAAAATTGGCATCCTTGCTGAGTGATGCGTATAGAGGTCTGCAATAGGCGGGTTTTTAGCCCTCCCGCCAAAGCACGCCTAAAGGTTTTTAAAATATTTCCAGCATTGAGCGGGTGGCGGGTGGGTTAAAAATATTTTTAAAGTAATACAAGTGTGGGCGAGTGAATTATTACATTTTTTAGGCGAGAGTTTCATATGATAATAAATATGTTTAATTATAAATACATAAAAAAAATAAATAGCTAAACCAGCCATTAAAATAATTTTTAAACATAAGTGGGTTATACAAAATATAAATGGAATGGTGAGTAATTAAAAAAAAAATTATAAGTGAGTAGGCGGGTGGGTAAAAAAAAATTTAAAAAAACAACTTGACGGGCTTTTTGGTTTAGCAGACCTCTAATACGTACTTAGGCATAGCAAGGATTTTGTTTAGGGGAATATCCCCATAAACTTAGTGGGGGGCTTAATTAAGGTTAGACAAAGACAGAGTTGTCTAAAATGAAACCTATATCTTGGGCCCGAAGAGCTATGCTTCTCCTGAATTGAGTAACGAATTTGAAAGCGTCGAGCCGAATCTCTATAATGTTATTGATAAGCGAGAAAAGGGGAGCTAAGGGAAAAGCAGCTACGAACATTGTCGTGAAACCAAATTGTATACCTTTTAAAGTTGTTATATAGCGCTTTATATTAGTTGTTTAACTTCAATTATGTTAACTTTTATTAGTGCTGTAAAACGGCTCGTTTTGAGCCGATTTTTAAAAATGGCCAACTCAATATTTCAACCAGAATAATATTAGGCAAGCCTGAAGATGTGCAATCTTGAGGCTTAGGAAATATTTTTCTGGCTAAATTGAGTAGCAGTTTTTGAGCCGTTAAAAACACTAACTTTTATGTTTTTTAGAAAATTTTTATTTTAACATTTTCTTATATTACTTATTTTATATATGTCGTGTTGGGATATGGAATCTCTTCAATTTTGTATCAGAGTTGAATTTTAAATTTAGAAAATTTTATTTAACCAGAAATGTATTCAATCATATGTAGAGTTAAAACTACCCTGTAAATTATAGGATTAAAATTTATATGGAAAATCGAAAAAAAGGATGATAAATTGAGTGTAGTTCAAAGACTAATGGCTTGTCAGAAATTCACAGTGTTGGTACTCTATAAGTTCCTGAATACATTTCCGGTCATATCTGATTTTCGAAATTTAAAAATCTCTATCAGTAATTGATTTAAAATTAAAAGATTCAGAATTCCTATGGAATTCATATTCCAATACAGCATAATTTTACATCACTGTCAAGTGCCGGATGTGCCCGCAGCCCGGGCCTGGGTTTTGTAATTTTTTTTAATGGGTTTGGGCTTAAATTATTTAAATTTAGCTTATTTAACATAGTTGCCAGCTTGAAATTTTCTTCTTCTAATTATAATATATTTCACGCTGAAATATTATTATTATATTTACATTAAATACATTAAATTAAAATTAAATATAGAATTTGGAAATTTTTTTTAGAACTTATTATGGGCTTGGATATTTTTTTAATATCAAATATGGGCCGAGCCGTGCTAAAATATTTTTATTGAGTACCTGGGCTGCGTATCATAAAATTCAGGCTCATGATGAGGTTCATTCAAAAGCAAAAAAAATATTTAATTATATAGTGCTCGATTAGATTTTCAACGCTGGGTTCGGTTAAACACTCTACCCCCTAAATCATTAAAAAATAATAATAATAGTATTTGGATGAACACAATTTTTTAATGGAAAAAATAAATATGGTTAAAGATTGCGTTTGTGATTTTATGACAATCAGATTGAAAACATTTACTTATAATTCCAATAAAATCTAATTTGATTCCTATCAAATGTAGATAAAGATTAGATCTAGAACGACAAAAATTTTTTTCACACAAATTTGAAGGATAAGTCCTTGATTGTGAAAGAAAAAGTGTTGAATAAAATTATTAAATATTTTTTTACCCTTCTTCTTCATTCTAAATTTTACGATTAAATTTAATATTTAAAAATTTTATTATAGAAAAAATAGATATTCTCCCGATAAAAAAAATCCGCCAAAAAAAATTAAACCCATCTCCAAATATTCATTGAACAATCCCATAGGACCCGGGTTTTCCAAATTGTAATCGTATTGATATTGGGGTATGCCCTTGTCGAGCTCTCCATTGATTTTATCCTTCGCATTAGCGTTGTTTGCCACACCAGCTGGATCGTTATTTTTTTTAAATTTATCATTATTAAGATCAGGGCCTGCATGTCAAGATTTCTTAATGAGAGTTTTTGCACCTATTTAATACACCTTTCTTGTCCAGCCCATAAGTAATTTTGATTGGGGGGAAAAAATCAGAATTAGGAATATGTCGTACTCACTGCAAAACGGTTTCTTACTTTTTAAAAATACATACGGGAGAGATTTAAAAATAAGAAAATATTATGATATATTAATGATAAATTTAATAAGATAATAGTTAAAATTATCCTTTACATAACATGTAAGCATCTATAAAAATATAAATAATATTTTACAGGAACATATTCCCTTTTCATCTAAAAATTTAATTGATAATCCATCAATAAATTTATCTAAACCTGGCCTACCTCCGCAAATGCCTACTTCCTACCCCCCCCCCCCCCTTTAAATTGAAAGCAAACTAGATATAATCCCTCCTCCCGCTCATATATATGTTGGTCAATCTTAAGAACCACTGCAAGTCTATGCCTTAAATATATAAAATTTGAATATTAAACCAACAAAACAGCTGACCACAGCTCATATACACCTACATGAAAAAAAAAGCAAAGCAATTTAAAAACTATTATTATTCATAAGTGTATTTAGGCCCTATTTATAATAAGCGCGATAATAGTGCGATATCGCTCAGCTATGTTTAAATTAAACTGAGTTATCATTTGGCAATATATATGCACCCCTTAAACATTATATTGCCTTTACGACATATGAAGTCTTACGCGTATATTTAACACTTTCATTAAGATTATCTGATATCGCACTGTTGTCATTTTCGTTTGCGGGATTATTGTCCGCGTCTGGGAGCCTGAGACGGGAGGATGATAAGCTTTTGTTAAATGAACGGCGTCGCCACCAATTTGATATTACGCTAGGGATTTCAAGTAGAATAGTATTTTAGATATGAAGTATAACATATTAAATTTTTGAATTAATTGATTTAATCAAAAAAATAAATAAAAACTAAGTTAAAATGGCCACTCATTGCAAAATATATGACGTAACTTCACACTACTAATCTTGAAAATCCAGCTATAAACTAAACTAATTTAAAAAATAGAAAACTAGCGATTACCTCTCCCATCATTCACTCTCATTTCCCTCAAAAAATAAAAACAATTCCTGAATTTTGTCAAACATTTCAATCTAGTCATTATTTATTCATCACTTGATAATTATAAGAGTGAAAAAACAATCTTTTTTTTTGTTTTTTTTACTTCACATTCCTAGTTCCAACTAATTTCATTTTTGGAAAATTGAGTTAGGGTTATTATTTTATCCTTTTAAACCATATAAATGATTATATATCTTAATGAAAATTAAAATTAATGATTATATAACTTAATAAAAATTAAAATTAATTTACAGCAAAATTATTTCATTTACAAAATTTTAAATAATTAATTATTAATAAAATTGTTTGCCTAAAGATGCACACTAATAAAAGTAATACATTTAAACCTAGTCTATTTAATTTTTAAATGAGATTGAGAGGTTTGTCAAGCCCCGGGGGTTTACCTAACCCCAGTCTCCCCTAGGTGTATTTATGATTTAAAATTTTTAAGACCTACCTAACTCTCAATTTCTTAAACCTTACCTTCCAGGTAAATAAATTATATTTATAATAGTATGTTAACTTGGTTTACTATATTAAAATGTGCAGCCTTTATTTATAAAATTAAATGAGTGACAATAATTAAAATCTAACTTCTTTTTTATTAGGCTGTTTAGAGGAAAATAAATAGCCTGTCAAACAGATTGCTATTTAAAAATAATCTAAGCAATTAACACGGCCTAATTGCTTAATAACGATAACTAGATGGGGTGTTTTTTTTTCAAAATGGTTTACCTGGAATTGAATGAAGTTAGATTTATAGAACCTTCATAAAAATAATCAAGTTATAACCAGGGTTCTGGGGGAGGGGGTAACATGATCGACATTAGGAGAGGGAGGGGATTATGAATGGCTGTGTCAATATTAATTTGGCAGGATTATAGGATTCATAGAGTAATCTATAAAAAAAGTGTTTTTACGGAAGAAATATTTCCTGTATAGTGTCGTACATTTGTTGCCCAATCATAATGACTGCGAATTGGATAAAAAGCTCGGCCATACATCCTGCTGGTTCGCACTAATTTCATTTAGGGAAAAAAAATATATAACTCGAGCATCTACAAAAGGCCTTGCCAAACCCTCCTATAAAGATTATGAAAGAACAACCGAAGTTTGCCCCAACCCTCTAAGAAACATGATTACTAAATTTTATAAAATGTATGTTTAGCCTCCTAATAGATTAGTATAAGCAGAGCTCGAGGCTTAGAATTAAATATTAGCCCGTTAGAGTGTTCTAGTAGTGATTCTAAATTCTTAGCATTATAAGCAATAAATATATTTTTTTTATATCTATAATGGATATATAAAAGAAAAAATGAATATTATATATAATCGAATAATGAATATAAACCTAATTAATATTAGCAAATATTATTGAAATAATCCAAGGGTAATTTTAAATGGATGAGCAATTTTATAAAAAAAATCTAATATTTTATCCAGAAAAATATTACGCAACCCTGAAGATTTTTCTCATAGATGGTACAAACGTTTAGACATCTATTAGAGAATTCTGGAGGCTTAAGCATTTTTTTTCTGGCTTAAATATAGAATTAGCCGTTTTTAAAAAGCGACTAGGTGGGTGACGGCTTTTTAAAAAATATATATATATATATACTTATTATACCGGGTCTTGTCTAAATCCAAATATCTTGTTGTCTCCAGTAGGATCTCCATATCTATTTTGAAAATAATAAAATTTAAAAAAAAAATACTTTAAACGGAAAAGAGAAAATTCTACAGAATTTTACTCAAATCATCATTTAGTGATTTAAATATATTATCAGACCAATTTTAAACTTTTAACAAAAATTATGAATAATTTAGTAAGGGTTATGGATAAGGAAAATAAAATAAATGATAGATGGTTAAGGGGATGCGCCGATACTTGTTTTTTTTACACTTGCCGATTTGACTTGTAACTTTTACCTAAATTTTGCGGATCTCATAATAATTTTGCGAGGGTATGGGACAAGAAATATTTACAAAACAAAATGACTTTAGATTACCATATTGGTTCATTAATAAAATTCTAAGTATAGTTAACACTTTATTTAAAAAAAATAAATTTATTGTTAACGTAGAGAAGACTTATGATCTCGAGTTCCTATGGATTTAATATGGAGGGTTTGAAAAAATAGACTTCGAAACCATAATATAAAATAAATGAATTTAATAAAGTGATAATTTAAGCAGTGACGGAATCTGCAAAGATTGATTTGAATGTTAATGTTGCGTTGCATCGAGGGTCAGCTTTACCCATTTTTATTTATATAATTATTTAATACAATTACTGTAGTTATAGACTATGTGTAAATATGTGTTAATGAAAAAAAAATAATTGGAGAGGCAGCTTAAAAAGTTTAAGAAAAGAATGGAGAAATTTGGGATAACGGTAAATAGTAAAAAAGCGACTTGTATGATGTTTAGATATTCGTTAATCTCACCTGGAAATGGAAGCTAAGGAGGTCAATTCTTTCATATATTTGGGGTCGACTTTGCAAGGTTATAGCAGATAAAATGGGGGTTTATGTAAAAGAACTAGAATTTCCTGGGGAAGATGAAGAGTTATGAACAAACTTTTACTAGAAAAAGGTATGAAACTTAACCTTAAGTGTAAAAAATGCTGATCAGTGATTAAGTTGGGTTTGAATTAAATTTTGGGCCAAAAGAAAAGCAGAGGAAAACGTTATGAGTTTTTACAGATCTAAATGTAGAACCATGTGAGATATGTATTTATTAAATAGGTAATAACGTTAATTTGGTTATGTAGAAATGAAAGGGAGATTAAAAGCTGAAGGTAAACATAGATGAGACAGAAAAATATAAAATGGTGGATGTGATTGTAGAAGACGTACGGAACCTAAATCTAACATATAACATAACATGATAAATGACAAAAAAGCACTGAGGACTAGAATTAAGGGTATGTGCTCATGATATTAAAAAAGAAAGAAAGAAAGAAAGAAAGAAAGAAAGAAAGAAAGAAAGAAAGAAAGAAAGAAAGAAAGAAAGAAAGAAAGAAAGAAAGAAAGAAAGAAAGAAAGAAAGAAAGAAAGAAAGAAAGAAAGAAAGAAAGAAAGAAAGAAAGAAAGAAAGAAAGAAAGAAAGAAAGAAAGAAAGAAAGAAAGAAAGAAAGAAAGAAAGAAAGAAAGAAAGAAAGAAAGAAAGAAAGATGAAAAGAAAGAAAGATGAAAAGAAAGAAAGAATAAATATAACGTTTTTAATTTTGGGATTTAAGCAACGCAAATTAATCGGAAACGTGAAAAATATTCTTACGAGCTGTAATCTATAAAGATGACTAAAAATATTGTACAAAAAATTGTGGAAATTTTTAAACGCAAGCATCCAATATATTATCATGCGACCTAATTGAGATGTCTTTTTTTTGTATTAATATAATTATCTTAATATTAATGTTGAATAACAAATAATCGTAACTCGAAATCCTCTGTAAATTCTCAATTTATAGGATCATTAAACATCTAGGTAGAACTTTAGGTTATAATAATCGACAAAGATTTCGAATTTTATGAAATAAATTATTATATATTTCTTTAAAAAAATATCTTTAAAAGGGTTATGAATCCAACTAATTAGTAAATCGAATATAGATATCAAATCGGTTAATATTAAAATAATCCGATTAGATATCTTTTAAAAAGTCAATATTGACTCCTATACCAGAAATCCGTACGGGCCTAAATATAAAGTTGTTTTAAAAAAAAATGTCGACCGTTACCTTCCTTTGAAAAAAGCAATGTATATCAGAGACGAGTAGTAGTTGATGAATTGGAAAAGAAACATCTTAATAGTATAACTGTCTTCATAATCTGTACTCGTTCGGGGACATTCTTGGAAAATTATTTTTTCCCGTAAAATCAATTTTATTACATATATATAAATATAAACAAAGGGCTGGTCTGATCTAAGCCGGCCCGGTCCAATACAGGCAATGAGCCTCAAAAATTTAATATCCAAGCCAGTATGGAAAATACAAAGCCTCACTCAAACAGGGAAATTATTTTTACCAATTATATTTACGCAATAACTTTTTATTTAAAATAAAAATGTTTATAATCAAACTGAAATAAGGGCAGATCTAGAAAAATTTGTAAAGGGAAGGGGGGATTGTTGTAATTAGAGGAATTGGGGGGGGGGGGGTTTATAATTTGTTTTAACACACCGAATATTAAGGGGGGGGGAAGAAAAAATTTAAATATAAAATATAAATAAAAAAGTATAAAAAGTTAAAATTCAACTCTCTCCCTCATAGACATTATTTCAAGGAAAAGAAGGTGCGTTATGAGTTAATCGTACTGGGGTATAACTTAATCAATTATATATCCAATTTATTTAAGGTATCGCAAATATAACATATATTATATATAATTCAAATAACGTGAAAATACCTATGTTAGTCAAAATGGTTGCTATTTTTGAGTAAACCTTTAAAAAAAATTTTTTTTTTAAAAACATTTATAATTATTTGATTAGTTAGAAATGTATTATGTCTAGTGCATAGGCGTAGCCGGGGGGGGCAAAGGGAAAATCCCTTTTCTTTAGAAATATATCACTTTTTGTGTAAATCATTTTAAGCTAATAAAAAATAACCCCCCTTAGTCCTCTCCCCACTCCCTGACCCCTAAAAATGTATGCATATAACTTAAACAATAATTTGGAAGAAAGATGTAAAAGTTAATATTTTTTTATAAAAATATTCATCATAATTTATAAATTTTTGGAAAATAGCATTTATATATAAAAAAGAGTGAACCAAAAATGCTTTTTAAGAAATGGAATATAAGATAAGTCTTAAGACAAAAGTTAAATGTATTATAATTATTAATAGTAGATCCATAAAATCACTAAATAATATAATATATCAAATATAATTTTTTATAAAGTGAGTAATTTTAATTTATTTATCTTAATAAAAGTAAAATATAATTATAAAACTATTGATAAAATTAAATTATAAATTAAATTAAAAAATTAAAGGCAAATACAAACAGTGTAATATTTTATGTCTTAGATTTACAGTATATCTAATTTTATCAATTATCATATGACAATCAAGTAATTTTTACCAATCTAGCGAATTATATATTTTAAAACTATAAAATATTGATAAGGACATCAGAAAATATCTTTTAAAGACATTGTGAAATAAATAATATAAAGAATTTTTAATATTTTTTTTAAAATAAGATGGCGTTAAATAATTGAATGCAAAATGTTGCATTATTTATTATCAAGAGTATTAATTAGTAAAATTTGTTAAAATATCAACTGTAATAAATTCTCTAATTGTAAAGCATGTCTGTAAAATGGAATTTTACCTAGTATTTTGTAACAAATTCTATATAATAGAGGAATATCAACTATATGCCTAATTACATTTTCTAAATAAATTTCTTATACTTGTTTGGAATAAATTATTACCATGCTTTTATATTAATGTATATACAAGTAATTTATTGTATTTTATATAAACTAATATCATATAGGCTTATTTTTTTTTATTAAAATTAACCTCCTATCTTGTATGACTATATATAAACTAAGGTAACCCGGCCGACGGCCAGGCAAAAGCGCAAAGGCCCACCCAAAAGGGGGTCTGGGGCGAAGCACCCAGTAATTTTTAATTTCCCCCCCCCCTTAGAAAATCCTGGCTACGCCTATGGTCGTGTATAGAGTAGCGACCTAAAAAATTGCACACCCGCGGGCCATTGAAGGCGCGGCTTTTGTGGCCTATTGCGTTTATCCTGATATTTAAAGAAAAGGTTATAACATAGGGAATAAATCTCAAACTCTTTTATTACCTTTATTACTATTAAGCATAAAATTTTAATAATTCAGCATAGTTTTACAAATTTAATGATTGTTTATCTATTTTAATTGATAATAATATTTTATAAGAAAATGAATAGTAAATATTTCCTACATTTCTGATTATTTATTTTAAAATTTTTCTTATTTTTTTCCCATTTTTGTAATTGTAATATTGTTAAATCAGGCACTAAAAGAAGAGTAAAAAGGCAAAATAGGCGTATGCAGGATTTTGCTAAGGGGAAAGAAGTAATTGGAAATATAAAGGTCCACTTATTGTAGGCCTTTGGCATATAAGGTTTTTAAAATTAAACACGAATTAAATTAATTACTAATTTGAAGGCTAATTTACGGTAAAACTGAGTTTTAGAAAAAAACTAACTTTATTGAGCAAAAGGATGGCTATAAGGTTGATAGCGGCTGAAGTTATATTTGTGGTTAATCTGGCATTTTGGCGAATAATCTTGTCTCTTTTAGAATAAAGTACTGAAAGGATAGATAGCTTATACACGATAATACCGAAAACTATTCCGACCACCATGATTAACTATTTTTTTTAAGATATTAAATTTAAAATAAAATTTTCAATTTCTAGGAATATACCTTTATTTATTTATTTTCTTTCCTTCTTTTCCTTCCTTCTTTTCTTTCTTTCTTTCTTTCTTTCTTTCTTTCTTTCTTTCTTTCTTTCTTTCTTTCTTTCTTTCTTTCTTTCTTTCTTTCTTTCTTTCTTTCTTTCCTTCCTTCCTTCCTTCCTTCCTTCCTTCCTTCCTTCCTTCCTTCCTTCCTTCCTTCCTTCCTTCCTTCCTTCCTTCCTTCCTTCCTTCCTTCCTTCTTCCTTCCTTCCTTTCTTCCTTCCTTCCTTCCTTCCTTCCTTCCTTCCTTCCTTCCTTCCTTCCTTCCTTCCTTCCTTCCTTCCTTCCTTCCTTCCTTCCTTCCTTCCTTCCTTCCTTCCTTCCTTCCTTCCTTCCTTCCTTCCTTCCTTCCTTCCTTCCTTCCTTCCTTCCTTCCTTCCTTCCTTCCTTCCTTCCTTCCTTCCTTCCTTCCTTCCTTCCTTCCTTCCTTCCTTCCTTCCTTCCTTCCTTCCTTCCTTCCTTCCTTCCTTCCTTCCTTCCTTCCTTCCTTCCTTCCTTCCTTCCTTCCTTCCTTCCTTCCTTCCTTCCTTCCTTCCTTCCTTCCTTCCTTCCAACCTTATTGTCATTTTTCAAAAGCGCTTACAAAAGTTAAGACAGTGATAGCGGCCCCCATAAGCCTTATGGCTTTGCTATAAAGTGGGAGATATGGCTCCAACATATTTGTGATGGGATTTTTCCTCAGCGTTTTAACTTGATTCTCATATTCCGGTCGCACTATTTCCTCCTCCTCAAAATCCTTCGTATCCCAGTCCCAGGATAATTCGTTTTGCTTACGTTTCCATAGCTCAAGGAAAAATGTGGCTATGTAAATTCATATCATTTTTAATGTTATATTAATTAAAATCAATTTTTTGAAACATGGCTTGTCCCGGAAGGGTAAATATATAAAAGCCAAACCAGTTTCATCAGTAATATTTTATACATAAGGCAAGCCTGAAAATGAGTAATTTTTTTATTTGTTCTCAGAAAAGCTATTAATAATGCACAAAATTAGTTTTGTAAAATGGCTCAATTTTTTTAAAAAACGGCGAACTCAATATTTTAGCCACAAAATATTACTCTTACCTGGGAATTTTGCTCATAGATTGCAGAAAGGCTTGGACATCTATTTAATAAAATATTGAGGCTTGCATAACATTATTTTGGCTGATTAATTTTAAAAAAATTTGGCTAAATTGACTCGTTTAACCATTACTAAAATTACCGAGATATTGGCTTTTATTTTTTATTAATCATAACAAAACAAGTTACAAAAATCAACATGATTATTTATTTAATTAAATGGAATCTCAATCTTCATAATTATTATTCCCTCGATGAGAGAAACATTCTTAGCGCACGGTCTGGTTTTACATCTTAGGGTAGATTAGTTTATAAATTTTTATATAGATATTGTAATTTTATTTAATTCATGTAGTTAATTAATTATTGACCATTCAAAACAAATGTGCTATGATAATTTAAAGTTATCAAGTAATTATTGTATTAAGTGAACTTTTGACCATTCAAAACAAATATGATAATTTAAAGTTATCAAGTTTTTATTGTATAAGTGAACTTTTGACAATTCAATCAATGCATATAATAGGTGGTAAAAATAATTTTTATAACGCTTCTTACACCAAAAAGACATGAAGACTGCAAAGGCGATAGTTGCTGGATTATCGAACAAATACGTAAGCTAAAATTAATAAATTTTTTTAAATTATTTATTCTATGATTTTTTTAAATTTTATATAAATAATTTTAAAATATATCGATGGAAAATTTTATAATGAAATATTATATTATTTTTTTTTCTAATGCTTACTTTTATCAAATTTAATAAATATTAAAATTTTTATTAGACAAAAATTTGCGAGGGAAAAAAAATGTCGCATAATTTCACTTTGGAATATAGGCAAGAGTCGTAAAGTTTCCAAAAAGTGCACGCATCGCACAATGGGCACATGGTTAAATTACCAATTCCATTTTTGTCGCAGATTTCTTTACTTTTTTAAAAAATAATAATATATATATATAAGATTATATTAAACGCAGCAGTGTATCCTCATCTCAGTTGGCGAGGTGTAAAAATAAAAATTATTTAGCCAGAATTTATTTTTCAAAGAAAGAGAAGATACATATTGGAGATCTTCTAAAATTGGCCAGGTCCGAACGGGCTATTTAAAAAAAAATTATTTAAGGCTGGGTCGAATAAAAAGAATTGTTTTTTTGGAGGAAAAATAAAAAAAATTAATCCGCCCCTCCTTTTTGGCGCTCGTCTTGTTTCCTTAACCAAACCGGATGGTGGTGTTAGACCAATAGCCATAGGATCGTTTTTTCGTAGATTAGTAGCCAAGGTCATAGTCAATAGGATCCGTTCTAAGGCCAGTTCCCTCCTTTTTCCCGCTCAGTTAGGATTTGGAGTCAGGGGCGGATGTGAAGTGGCCTAACATGTAGCTCGTATTTTTATAAATACTGAGGCTGAAAAGGTTTTCTGTAAGTTAGATTTCAGAAATGCCTTCAATAGCATTCATAGGAGCTCATTCCTACCCTCCTTCCTACAACATTTTCCTAAATATTGTAATTTTCTTAATTCTTGCTACGGTTTTCCCTCGTTGCTTAAATTCGGAAAATTTTCCATATTCTCTGAAGAGGGGATCCAGCAAGGTGATCCACTAGGTCCCTTGCTCTTTACATTAGGTATTCAGGACTTTATAAAAAATTTGAAACCAGATTTCAATTTAGATCTAAATCTATGGTATCTCGACGATGGCTCGTTTGGCGGATCTTTACCCAATGTTTTGTCGGCCATCGAGTACGTTGAGATAGAAGCCTCTAAAATTGGCCTTTCCCTTAATAGGAAGAAATGCGAAATCTCCTCTCTTAACAACGTGGTTTTTATCCCTCCCCCTGATTTTAAAATTATCTTGCACGAGGATCTCTGTCTTTTGGGTTCTCCTATCGGCTCCTCATCTTCCTTCTGTCAAAATTTTTTTGACAATCTGATCCAATCTCTCTTTCACTCTCTTAAGATTCTTCCTCATCTCCCCAAGCATCAGTTCTTTTTCCTCACAAAAAAATGCTTGTTCTTACCTAAATTCTTACATATCTTTAAATCTTCTCCTGCTTTCCAATATGATCACCTTCTGAAGTCCTTCGATTTAAAATTTAAACATTTTATCGAATCGCTTTTAGTCCTAAACTTTTCCGACTTTAATTGGTCCTTTGCCTCTATGCCCGCTTTCCGGGGTGTATAGGGTTGAACGATCCCCTTTTAACCTCTGCCAAACAATCTTGGCTAACTCTAGTTCTTGAAGGATCCGGGCAGCTAGTCTCCAGCCATCTAAAGAGCTTCCTGGGCCCCATGCTTCAATGTGCTTTTGAAAAACTTTATTCGTTTGCCGATATAACTAACCTTCAACTACTCAGAAACGCAAAAAAAAATTCTAACGGCCATGAATGGCTAGACGCGATTCCGAGTGGTAAAAAGGAAACGTTACTCACAAACGACGAGTTCCAAATTGCCATTGGTCATAGGCTAGGTTGCCTTATCCCTTCTGTTGACACCTGTGCGGCATGTAATAAGCAGGTGGATCTATTCTCTAGGCATTGTTTCTCTTGCCTCAAAGTCAGTGGCCGTTTCTTGAGACACGACAACATAAATAGGTTAATCGGCAAATCTTTGATTTCGGCCGGTTTCCCCAATAGCTTGGAGCCGTTAGGTCTCCTAAATGAGGATGGTAAGCGTCCCGATGGCATGTCTTTGACATCTTGGCACTGTGGCAAAAGACTTGTCTGGGATGTCTCTTGCGTTACCTCTTTCCCTGCTAACAGAAACTCTGACCCCTTGGATCTCCAAGAAACTAATAAAATCAACAAATATAGATCCCTCATTAATTCTTTTATTTTTATCCCCCTAATTTTCAGCGTTTTGGGGAACCTAGATCCCCAATCCCAAAAATTCTTAAATCAATTGGGAAAAAAAATCTCAATAAGGACAGGGGGGAAAAACGAGTCCCTGTCCCTCAAACAAAAGATACAATTCGAAATCTTAAGAGGGAACTATAAGTGTTTCTTTGAAACACTCTCTTTTCCCGCCTAGTTCTATATGTATAATCATGTTTTTATGATATAATGGCTATAATAATAAAATTTTATTGCAATTTTTTTTATTTTCATAATGATTTAAATAAAATTTTAGAACACAATAAATTTGACAATACAATGCAAATAAACTTTCATGAAGTCATTCTTTCATTTTAAAAAATAAATTGGTTGTATTGAATTTTATGATCAAAGATGATAGGGGTTTGGTGCACGCTCATTATATTAAAAGTAAATTGTAATTTTCTGTTCTAGCCTTATATCATTTTTACACAGTTTATATTAAGATTCTTTAATCTGCTGCTACTGGCAGAGAGCAAAATGTGTTTTGAGCAAAAATTACATTCATTAATTCCAATATTTTACCATTTCTCCAGCAATATATAGTCGTCGTATTACAGAATGAGATATGTATCGTGGCATATTTTTAGACATATAAAATTATTTTTTTTGCTAATTTCCAAGAATTTTCATTATTTATTGAACTTTTTACCCTACCTTAAGAATTTTATATTTCAAAAATTTTAAAGTATTTTTATACAAATAAACTGATCTCTTAATAGTTTTTCTTTATTTAATTTTTATTCAGTTGTTCGTTTTAGTATTTTTTATACAGTTCGTTTTTTTTAAAATACTCGATTAATAAATATTAAAAAAATTAAAAAATAGCAAGGTCTCTATTACCTCAATGTTGGTAATATTGTATTTTTTCAGTTTTTTCTTCTGTTTAGATTATTCAATTTTGGGATATAAAATTGATATATCAAAACAAAGGGGGAAATTATTTTCTGTGGGAATTTCTTTTTCCTGGTGGAATTACTTTCCAAGTGATTTTTTTTCCCCGATAATTAATTAGTGGTTACCATGCATTATCATTATTAGTGTTGTTATACGGCTCGTTTTGAGCCGATTATTAAAAACGGCTAACTCAATATTTTAGCCAGAAAAATATTGCCTAAGTCTCGAGATTTCGCTAATAGATGTCCAAACCTTTGTTCCTTCTACAAACAAAATCTTCAGGCTTGCGTAATATTATTCTAGATGAAATATTGAATTAGAATCATATTTATAAAATGGCAGCCGTGGAAATTACAGATTCTGAACTGAGGCGCAGAAAGTTGGGGTTAGAACCGACTTGGGCGGGAAAAAAAAATTTGGGTCAATTTTTATTTTTAGACGCAAAGTAGGGTTTTTTCGATAAAAAAACGGATAATTTTAGGGCTTCTATAAGAAATAAAATACGAATTCGGGATTCCCTCAAATCTTATCATTTCATGTAGAGCATTTGGATAACCAAGATATGGTTATTTATTTATTTGTAGAATATTTATAAAATTTATAGATTTATTTATTTGTAGGAAGCTTATTTGGGTATACAATACTAATATCTATTATATTTTATACAAGTCGTATTAGAATCAAAGACCTTTATGGCTCTAAATATTTTGAGGTTAGGTCTAGGTTCGCAATAAAATTTATAGGCCCCATATTTAATATTTTCATTGTGATTCTTAATCTCTCAATTATAAATCATTGATTGGGAGTAATTTTTAAATATAAAAATCCTATTTGACAGGTAAGGCATTCGAACATGTCGGAGCAAGTAAAAAAAAAATGTTTGATTTGGTGACCGGGCTGGATAAATTTTAAAAAAAATAAAATTCTGCCTATATAGAGATTAGCTTAGTCTATTTATTTTATAGCCCTTTATTTTATGCATAATAATAGACCCGGCTTCCCCTATAAGTCGAATCATTTGCAAATTTTAGTTAAGCCGATTACAATTTATAAGAGTTATATATGTTTATATCTTCAAATAATTGTAAAAAATCTCCAATAATTATATAAATATAAAATCAGATAAGGTTAAAATATACTAAAATGTTTTATTAGTTAATAACAGATAGGGAAACCCGTAGATATATTATTCCAAGAATTATGACGAGGCGAAATATACCGAAGTGTGTAATATCTACTATAATATCAATGATAATTGATTAGTTTTTCGCCTTTTACAATACCCAATAATAATCCTTAATATATTTTTAAAGAGGGAACATTAATAAGCTTACATGGGAACAAAATTATCTATCGTCAAAAGTCCGTAAAAGAAGCACAAGAACCCGAATAATGCAGCAGGTACGAGCATCTTGGTGTAAAATCCGAGCCAGGCAAAATATATGGCTATTTTTTCGCCAAAGTATTTTCTGTTTAAAAATTATTTTTTTTATTAATTATCTGAGGAAAAACCATAAATTTATAATGACAATGTCGTCAAAGGCAGAGACTAAATTCTTATTCTTACGTAGAATTTATCAAAGTTAACACCGAACGAGGGTTTATTTAATGATCCACGACTTAATAGGGAAAAATAGACACTCCATATCTAATGTAAGCAAGTGACTAAATGATAAGATCTAGTGGTGCCATCGCTTCTATCGCGCCAAAACAAAAAATAATACTAAATGAGCTTAACAACCGCATAGTCAAGAAATAAAAATAAAATAAAATTTAACATCTCATTTTATTATCGCAAAATTTAAATAAAATTTTGTTTTTATAATCGTTTTACCTTATCAATCCGATGGGCTGTTCTTTGTAAAACATTTTGGGCTTTGTCCAAATTTTGTACAATATCTATAAATTTTATCCAATTTTTTATAAAAAAAATTATATTATATGAGTTTTTTGGCTATAAGATAGTAACATCGATATCATATGCCCTCTATGAAACTCATATGGTTAGCTTAGGCCACTACCCTTTTTTTCAAAAGTGACCATCCAGGCACAGGTGAAAGAATAATAAAAATTGCGAATAGAAAATATTGATATTTAAAAGGATCCCACCAAAATTCATATAATCTTTAAATTTTGGAAAATGTATTCTTGAATGCTACGATTCATTAGACCTCGAGAAACATCTGATCTTAACAATTGAGGCTGGCATTACCTAAATGATAATATTATTTTAGTTGCCAAAAGCTTCATTTTTTTGATGGAAGTAGTTTATTCCAATTAGTTATGCCTAGAGTTAATAGGTTTCGCATCTTAATGGAAGAAAAAAAACTTGAAGTCACCTTCCCCCCTCCCTCCACTCTCAAAATATTTTTTATTCCCTATTCCCATAAGACCCCTTAACCCTACCTTTTGAATTCTATTTGAAGGCGCCTGCACTAGAGAGAAAAATTTGAAGGCAACATGATAAAATGTATCCCCCTCTTACTCCCTTAATAATTTTTAGTCTCTACACCTTTTAAGAGTCTTTCATGATATATGAAGCAAATTTCTGCTAACCCCCCCCCCCCTAACCATTCATATGAACGACACATGTTGAGGTTTCATTTGCTTTGATGTTCAAACTCTAACAAATAATCACGAATGGAGAAAAAAAAAGAGGATTTATCCAGATTATTGTAAATGCCATTTTTATTTTATTTCCCGAATATTGTAAAGTTTTAATAATTTGATTCCTAATCTTTATTTAATAACTTCATTAATCGAATCCTTTCTATAAATTTTAATCGATCGTTAGAATAATCCCTTTAAAGTTAGGGTTAAAAAAAATCTTTAACTAATATCTATCTCACTGACTAACATTTCAGGACCAGAGAGAGATTTCTAAGCCTTTAAGAATTTTCCATTAGCCTACCCCTCTCTCTCCAGCTTTATATCTTTTATTTTGTATGCGGAAAATTAGGAGTCGAGTCGTATATACTTATTTACATCTGGGATGGGTTTATAATTCATACACCATAAGGGGGGGGGAGGGTCCTTAGAACAGAAAATAATAATAAATATAAGCCTGTCTATCGTTGGGTTTTTTAGGAAGATCATCATTATTGGTAGACTCATCATCTTTACTATCCGAGTGGTTTTCCAAAAAGGGGCCATCGTGCAAGGGAAAGGAAGCAATGTATGTACCACTGGATATTAATCTATCTAAGCCTAAAAAAAATAATTTATTTCAAGGGTTATGATCATGAAATGGTAGGAATCAATTGGTTCATAGTATAATATTCTTGAAATGTATTTAGTTTTCTATATGGCATTGTTAATTTTCGTATTATTCTCGTTTTTTTTGTTTTTTTTAAAAAAATATTTTTCTTTTACTTTATTTTTGGCTATTTAGTATCAAGCCAGGAATTTATTTTTCATTTAATGTCTGGAGGAAAATAAATATTTTATAGTTATTTTTAAGGCTGTCCTTTTTAGTTGATGAAAGTTTGAGTTTTTTTTTCAAAAAAATATTAGTAATAATTTTTTTTTCAAGACTAATCTACTGCCCAAAATTTGGCAAGTTGCGACTCATTGATTCCCTCAGCGTCGCCAGGATTTTAATAGCTCATTTCCTAGTATGATTCTTATGTATATATATATTTTTAAAAAATAACTATCGTTTTAATAATAAAAAAACACTAATTTATTTTTTATAAACTCAAAAAATACCGCATTTTTTGTAAAATTATTTACCAAATTTTCTGGCTTGCATGTCGTATTTGCAACGTGATAACATTTCGTGAACAATCCTACTCCTCTTAGCATTGTCGAAAAAGGTGTCCCTATCTTCGATTAAAAATCTTTATTAAAGGTATAAAAAAAATGATTTTTAAAATAGTAAAATATTAGAAGAAAAATTATAATCGATAATAACACTTCATAAAGTATACAATAATTATAAAAACCATCCATTCTTTTTATAAAAAATAATAAATCCAGAAGGTATATTATATTGAAATTCTCTCTTAAATGAGGATGAGGATCAAATGTTTTTCTCGGATTAGGTCGTAAACAGCGCATGAACAATTTAGGGATTTCTTTCTTCTTTCCTTCCCAGCACTAATTTAAAATTATTTTTTAAGCCCGATCTGAGTTATCATATTAATTTTAGCCCCCCCCCCTTACCCAATCCAAGTTTTGTTGGTTTAAATATAAATAAAACTCATTTTTATAATTATTAAATAAAAATAAAAATCCCTGAAAGAAAGAAAGAAAGAAAAAAAGAAAGAAAGAAAGAAAGAAAGAAAGAAAGAAAGAAAGAAAGAAAGAAAGAAAGAATGTAAAGAAAAATGTCTATTTTAATTTTTTTTTAAAGATAATTTGGGAGGCTCGAGTTTTTAATTTCAGCTAGAGACAGGGTCATATTTAGGGCCGAGTCTACTCCAGGATTCAAGCATAGAATATTATCTAGATAAGTGATTTTTATTATCAGCAAAAAAAACCAATAAATTAATTTGTTTTTTTATTATTTTTATTTATAATAAGGCTGTTTATATTTTATTTAAAAAAACATTATTTGAAATACTTGAATTTTTTACCTTTTAAATTTCTCATTATAACTTTAAGATATTGAGAAAACTCAAGATTATTTTCACTTGATGTAAAAAGTTTGAAAATAATAGTTTTCTTTTTAATGAGCAGTATAAAAACCGATTTTTAGAATCAAATTAAATTGAATATTCCTTATCTTCGTTTGACATTTTCTATATAACTTAGGAAAGTTATATAATTCATGAATCGTGTCAAAAATATTAACTTGTTTATGTAGTTCTGATTAAAAACGCAGGTAAAATAATGTCTTTCTTTGGGTTTGTATTTTTCTGGCAAAGCGAATGGGTTATAGAGAAACGTCCAGAATTTGTTAACTTGAACTAAAAATTTATCTTCCTGTGGAATAAAAAAAGAATATGGAAAGGATATATTAAAATATTATTTATAGAAGGAGATTTTTTTTGATTAGATGAAGTATATTTAAATTATAAAAAAATATCTGAAATAAGGAATAGGAACTAAAGAATTAAAACTGGTTTTTATTAATATAAGGTGATTAAATAGACCAATAGAAATTTAAATAAATCAACTGTTGTAAGGGCAATTTACCTGAGTTGGGCCATAATATAAGGTTTTACCTTCTCCGAAATAAAGGAACAATAATTATTTTACGGTATCAAAATTTCAACTTACACGATTCACGTTTGTAAGTTCATAGACATTTTTGCCAATAAATTCGGTTAAAAGTTACCTTATCATTCTCACGATTGATGTTTAAAAATATTATTCCCCTTTTCACTATAATTTATATTATAAAACATTCTTCTTCTTCTTCAAGGCATATTATATATATTATATACTTGTTTTTTTTTATCGTCATTCATTATTAATTATAATAATCAGGAAATTTTATCGCAAAATGATTCTCATAAAGTTATTAAACAAAAATAGAGTAAAAGAAATTTGTAAACAATAAAGAAAAAAATTTGGCGTAAATAACCATATTCAAAAAGCGCGAAAGAAACAATTCTAATATTTAAGCCATCCCATTTAAGAAATTATATTACTGCCCTAGTTAGTTATATTACCTTTTTTTCCCCACAATTCAAAAAATATATCATTTTTTTTAAATATTTTTATTTAGTATTACTTATTTTTTTTGCGAGGATGTTTATTCTCTAAGCATAATTTTGGGAAAATAAGCAAACATGATGGAATATTTTTAAATTTAAAAGAACGCGCTCAAAAAATGATTTAAAGTTGAAAGAATAACAGCTGTTATATAATAATAAAATAAATTTTTTAAAAAAATGTGATTATATGGGACCGGATAAACATCGGGTGAATATTAGAACTTAATTGGTTTGAGTAATTTTTAAGAAAATTTTGCCCGGTATTATCTCTATTTTTATTTTCTTCCATTTTTTTTGTGAGTGGGTGGGTTTGGGACCCTAAATACTAAAAATATTTTAATTAATCCGAGTACGATATAGATTTAGCAAAAAATATTAGTACCACAAACATTTAGTTTTGATTATTATGAAGTAATTTTAATTGGTCCATTTTAATTTAAGCATGTAGAAATTTTGCTTTTCTAGGATTATTTAATTTCGTTTCTATAAACCCAATCATTTCAAATTAACTCCTTTGTTTTTCAATTTAAAAGCTTTTCGAAGCGCATTAAATTCTAGTCTACTGTAAACTTTTTCTTAACCCATTTATAAACTAGCCAAATATGAAATTGTTTTCACTATATTACCTTCCAAAATTTTCCTTATAAACGACATTCGCGGTAAAAATAAATTTGCGAAAAAGCGTTTCCCGATAATAGTTTTGTTCAATTGATTTGATACGAATTTAAGGAAAAATTAAAATAAATTATCGGTAAAAATAATAAAATAAAAATTTGGGTGACAAAAAAATATTATAAAGATAAAAGAAATAAAATAATATTTGTTATTACTTTGATAGGCATCTTGATGTTCATGAGTTGGGCATACTTGCAAAGGACTTCGAATGGCGCGTGAATTTTGACATAAACTATTCCTTGAGTATTTTCCTAGGTCAGTAAAATTGTAAAAAATAATTATTAAAATTATCACATTTATTTTTTTAACTGTTTACAAGGTCGGGCCATACATCCATATTTGATAATTTATGAATACGAATTATAAATTCTTTGTTTTGTATAACTAATATACCTTATTTATTTAATATTTTTTTTGAGCTCTAGGCTAAATGTCGGCGAATTCATATTCAATCTTCAGGGCCTGCCGGAGAAAATGGTTAAAATTAAGGTGTTTCTATTTATATTAGTTTCTTTCAAATTTGGGCTGCTATTGTTAAGAAAAACCCCCAGGCCAAAGTGATAATTTTCGGCCAAAGCCATGGTTTAGCCAATTTTGTAGCTCGTTAAAATTGGCTCAAAGGCTGAAAATTTAGTAATTACCCAATTATAGTGAGAGAATAATATATTAGTGGTTTGTTTTTATACCACAGTTTATATAGACTATTCCCTAACTATAAATTTTGTTTGGTAAAATATATAATTAAACATGGGTATTAGAGCACACTTAAAGGTCTGGAAAATCAATTTATTTCTGCCCCATGCTAACAATTTATCTTTTAGATCTAAGACCAGCCCATCAATTGTTTTTAAAAAAAAGCTTATTGGGAAGAAAAATCAAACTAAACATATTTAGCTGAGCTGGGCTGATAAGCCTATCCTCCAACGCATAGTATAAACAATATATTTAGCGCAAATTTATAAAGTATTTTTTTTTTAAAAAAATTGCTAATTCGATAAAGGTTTTATAATTATAGTTTATATAGACTATTCCCTAACTATAAATTTTGTTTGGTAAATTATATAATTGGTTATTAGAGCACACTTAAAGATCTGAAAAATCAATTTATTTCTGCCCAATTTGAAAAAATCCGAGATCAACAAAATCTTAGATTTTTTTTATATTTTCAAAGAGCATTTCAAATTCCGATATTTTTTGATAACAAATAATTTATTCCAACCCAATAAAGGTAGAAAATAGAATTTAGAGTATATTTATTTATTCTATTTAAAAAAATAATCTTTTATCATCTCAAAAAAATAAATAATAGAGAATAGATAAATATTTATTTTTTTGTTCTTAGCTTAAGCATAACTATAAATATTAGCTATATTTTATAAAGAGGTTATTGTCCAGTTTAGATGTAAGTTAATTATGTTAAAGGCTCTATTTTCAAAAAGAAAAAGGGTTAACCCAATATTTTAGCCAAACATTTTAACGTAAGTCTGAAGATTTGGCTTATAGATAGTAGAAATATTTGGATGTCTATTAGCGAAATCTCGAGGCATCACTAATATTATTTAGCGCTAAAACCCTTAATTTAAAAATAAGGCTAAATAGTTACCGTTTAACAATACTAGATTTTAAGACGGATATTTATAAAATCATTTTTTAATAAATAAATAAAATAAAATAATCAATTCCAAATTAGATTCTAAAGTACTTAACCTTAGGATCGGTTTTCTCGAATTGCAAGCCCTCGTCGATCAAATTTTTCTCGAAAATCAACCTTTTATGTTCTTTCTTTATTTCGTCGTCAACATAGGCTTGGGGTTCCTTGTAAACGAGGATATAATCTATCTTTCTCGTGTTGTCATCGAAATATATGCCCGGAAGGTGTGTCGACTTTAATTTTTTTTGTTAATTTTTTTTGCAGATTAAAAAATTTTCATCTTTCTTTCTTTCTTTCTTTCTTTCTTTCTTTCTTTCTTTCTTTCTTTCTTTCTTTCTTTCTTTCTTTCTTTCTTTCTTTCTTTCTTTCTTTCTTTCTAAATGCAGGGTTAAGACTAAATATTGATCAGGCTTAATACAATCAATGTCATAGTAGGTTATTATTTACTCGATTTTACCTAAGTTTTAAAAAAAAATTTAAACAAACTTTTTATTTAAATATTGGGTGGAAGGCTTCTTAATTAAATCGGTTAAAACATATTAGAGAGGCAGAGTACTTATGATAAAGGATTTGGGGGGGGGGGGATTATTAGCATTTTAAGAATCGGCCAATTCTTTTGACAAGTTCTCCAACTTTATAATACGGTTTCTCAAATGTAACCAGTGGTCACCTAAAGTTCTTAAAATAATGCATGCGTAAATTTATGTTTATATAATAACTTAATAATTATAATGATTATATTATTATATTTTATATATAATAGGAATTAAACTTTTAATTTTAACAATTTTCTAAGAATAATATCCATTTTAAGAGATGAGAATATAGAATCGATAAATGGAATGATAAAAAAAATAAATGCATAGATTATAAATAATTTAAAATAATAACTTTTCAAATCAATATTTTATTTTTTATAAAAAAATTAACCTTATATTCAATATTTTTTTTTTATAAATAAAAATAGGGAAAAAATAAAAGTAATTAATAATCAAGGATTTTTATAAATAAAAAAACGCAATTACCTTTTACAGATTAAAACTAAATTTTGATAGGTTGAAATAACAGAGTTGATGTAAATGTGTTTAATTTAACTGGTTTTGTGACAATATCAATAAGGTAGAAAACGTGTCAAAATATTTGTTAATTATTACAATATATTAACGCTTTTCCTAGACTAGATTATTCGACATCAACAAAAGATTAAAAATTATTATATGCAACCAAATTAATAACAGAGTGTTATATCTTTTATTTAATATACGTATCTTAAATATATCATTTTCTTCGATTTCATTCGAAAAGATGTTTGAGAAACAAATGATGTCGATAAAATAAAAATGGTGAAAATTTTTAATTTTTTAAAATAAAAATTTTCCACTTGACTTATTTTTTCAACCAATAATTTTCTATATATCACTTGATACCAAATTTTATACATATTCGTTTCCATCACAGTTGCCACCACCATATCCCCTGACCCACTCTTAAGTTTAGAAATTGTCAAGGCTATTAAATCATTTAAAAAGAACTCGGCTGCTAGAGGGTTAGATGATTTCCGAGCAATTTAAGGCTAACAATGTTATTGCCATAACAGAATATTAGGCTTAATCATACTTCTTAATAACCTTGTTTTACCATGCATTCTACCCTTATTTGGTGCTCGCCTTATTGCACTAACCAAAAAGAATGGAAGCTGTTGTAGCAGTTAGAAAAAATAAGAAATAAATTTAATAAAATATACTAAATGTCAGTCATTTTTATGACATGAACAATTAATTTTCCTTGGGGGAAGAAGAGAGAATGGGGAGATTACGAGATGCCAGCTGAAAAAGAACAAAGAAGATAGATTGAATTATTGGAACCGATTTTGTAATGTGATAGTTATTGGTATTTGTTTAATATTTTTATATTAGTTGTTATTTTATAAAAGGACTTTTGGATTTATAAGATATATTGTTAAAGGGAAGGGTTGAGAGTAAGGGGTATTCTTCACAGTTGTTGACCGTGAACCAGGATAGGCAGCATAAGGGTTTCGGTACATAATGCAATTATTAACCACTATACAGGTTGTCAGAAAGAGATGAGATTAAGGGATTTTAGAATTTTATTTTAGATGTTTAACAAATTAAGAACAGGATAGAAAGTATGTAATGAGTATTAGGCCTGAAAATAAAAATAAATCATGAATTTAAGATAGTAATTTATATATTACCTTAAAAATAAACTTTGGTTAAGGGTTAATGATATTTAATTCATTTTGGCCCATTTAAGACAATAATATTTGTGGTATTAGATGTCTAAATGTATATTGTACATCCAATTTTGACAATAGGTATAATCTTATTATTTGGTAGGCCTTAAGACTCATTGAATGGTGTTATAGGTATTCCGTCATAGGAAAATTAGACCTCAAGATATGCAGGACAGAAAGGATTGCTGAATATTTAAATATTGGGGATTTATGAAAATATATATAGAAGTGGATTTTTGTAATAAATTATTTGTTATATAATTATGCATTTGGGCTTTTAAAGGGATGAACATATGTGGGATACTTTATTATTAATTAATACTATATTGTATATGTAATCCAGTTTCAATTAAGGATGATATATTATTAAGGGATCTATTGAGGGTGAGTTAATGTTGTTTATTTTGAAGTAATTAACCATTTTTATGAAATATGGTGTAATATGAATTACACATATGATATATTTAATTATTTTTGATTTAATGTATGAATTTGATATATATATATAAATTTGGCATGAATTTATATGGTATATAAAGAGCAAAATATGAATTGATATATATAATTTGTATGGATTTATATGATAAATGGGTTAAATATGAATTTGATATATATATATATATATTTGGTATGAATTTCAGGGGCGTCTCTAGCCTTTACAATCTCAGAGGGCTCAACTAAAAAAAAATTATGGGGGCTTCGACTCCATACCCCAATATGCGGGTATTCGGCTGGCTTTTGCTCTCTTCGGTCGGGTTTTATATTAATATATTATACATTTTTAAAGTATGCTAACTTTAGACAATTATTCTGAATTTGATATTTTGTCATTTATAATATTTTGTATACAAAATAAACTAGTATATAAATAACTAAAACAATACAAGACATTTCTAAAAATAATATGTTTTAATACAAAATCTATTTATTACAGTATAAAATATTTTCGATTGCTGATATAAAAAAATTTTGAGTAAAGAATGACAAGTGATAAAAAAGATTAGCTAATTCATACATATGCCTCAATTGATAATGGTTTTTAAAAACCACATAAGGCTATATAATTCTAGCAAGTTACATTGACAAAAGGTCATGAAACTAATATAACTCTCTGTTACCATTTTGGACAATGTTTAATAGAATGGACTAATAAGGAAAAATTTATAGGCCTAACCAAATCAACAATTCTTGAATAAGAAAATATACACGACCAATTAAATCATAAAACTATATGGTGGCTAGAGCTTCCTCTTATATGACATGATGGAAGCTAGATAAGTAATCGAGAAAATTTTTGTGAGATATTAAATTTCTAAAAGATTATCTTCCATTTTTATTGATATATAAACGACTACACAGTTGACCATTATTGCTTATCTAAAATATGCAATCATATGCTCTCAGCATCTATAGTAATAATCTTAAATTACATAGAGACACAAATAATAGAAGCTGATTAATCTGCAGTTATAGCCATGACAATCACGATAGTAACCCATATCAGAATTTATTATGTTAGATAAATTGATAAAACAAAAATAGTAAAAATTTTTAGAAGAAATTATGCAAATATATTGAAGTTGTGAGTTATTTACACCGCAAGAATGCCGTATTAGAAATGAAACATTTTGTAACAAAATAAGGAACAGAGTGATATGATGAAAGTAATTAAAATTTTATATATTAATGTCGCACCGCTTCTAGATGGTATATTATATCTTAAAATTTAATAGATTGTAACAATAACAAAAATATATTCGTATTAAAAATTTAACACAAAACTGTTTTTCAAAGAAGAAAAAAATAGCTTACCTAAAAATATTTAAAAAAAGAGAAGAAAAGATATCTAAATTGTGGGATTAATAATAAGAAGTTTACTTTTAATAATATATTTAATAAATAGATGGAATTAAATAATTGAATGCAAATTGTTACTTATATTTATTATCAAAAGCATTTATTATTAAAATTTTAAAATTATTAACTGCAATATATTATATAACTGTCAAATACTTCTGTAATAGTGGCATTTTACCTAATATTTTATAAATAATTATATATTATAAAGGATTATAAACTATTTAACTACTTGCTTTTTATAAATAAATATCTTATACTCATTTGGATTTGGACCTTGATATTATTAGGAAGAGACATGATAATTAAATTTAAAAATCAAAATGTAGTTTATTAGTGATTTTGAACTCGGCTAATTACAATATTAAATTTGTTAATTTTCAATTAATAAATGATTATATTTATTTAATTAAGGTTATAAAATAATTTAAATAATAAAAGTTAAGCTTCAACCTCTAATGCTAAATTAATATTTAGTGAGTGATAATGATATATTTTTAACACAGAATTTGATCGCAAGCTGACAGAGTGAACATATAATTTATATATATTAATCTATTCTAATTATTAAAATATAATTCATATAATAAAAATTTATAGTTTTATTAATTTTTAAATAATAAAAATCTATATATTACTCAATAGAATTATAAAAGAAATCGTTTAAGAGGCAATTAAAAAAATTTATTTTTAGTTCAAGGGGATATTAAGGAGCAATTAAAAAAAATTTCTTTGCTTCAAAGGGCTATTCAAACTTTTCAGTGGGCTCGAGCCCCTGCGCCCTCCCCCTAGCGGCCACTGATGGATTTATATGATATATTAGTATAAGTTTGATATATATATAAATTTGGCATGGATTTATATAATATATTGGTAGAAATTATGATACTGAATTTTTTTTTTTAAGATTATGAAATCTTTTTAATATTTATTTTTTTTTAAATTATAAAATTTTATTAAAATTTTTATTTGCATGTATTATACTGTGTTTATTGTGATTTTTATTAAAGGGAAAATATTTTTATGGATAAGGTCAGCCATGTGTTGATGGGTATGCCTTAAGATGGAATAAATTCTTGAGAAAGTTTTTTTTGTAAATTCTTTTTCGTAAATTTATTTTGTGCATTACATTTTTTTTATCTTTGTAATAATTTTATAGCACATCACATTTTACTATGTATATTATGAACATGTATTTTTTTTTTTAAAAAAACTCAGATTATTTTATTATATTATGAATGTTATATTAAAATTCTCTACATGTATACCATATATCCCATTATATTCTCAATTTTTGTTACTTTGCATTCTACATTTCC